AGAGAGAGAGAGAGAGAGAGAGAGAGAGAGAGAGAGAGAGAAGAGAACAACCACACACTTCTTTCCACACACTCACCTGCTATTATGTCAGGGGAAATGGCTAACATACTATCTCTGACATCTAGGTTTCTGTTGTGGGATTGTGGTTTCTCTCTTTTTAAAGAGGAGCAAGCCTTTGATACAAGTCTTTCCCTGCAGTCTGAAGTGAGACAGCTAAGCGTCTGATGCCAGGGATTTTTCTTAGCTGCAACTTCAGATCTTGAACAGGAAACACTGTGGATGAAATGTGCATCTGACAGAAGCACTGGAGAAGGAGGTTTGCACCAGACCATTAAGACCCCGGCAGTATCTCACGGTTTGGCTGCAAGGCACTTTGATCCAGGACAGGGCATTCCTCCAACTGCTGCTTCCCCACCTCTATGGGGACTTCCCAGCGCAGGTGATCATCAGGTTTCTGGAGGCCCTCCAAAGCCAGTTTCTCACACCACAGCTTCTTCGGTATTCTCAAAAAACTTGTATACAAAGGTAGAAGTTTCACAAATTTCATATTGCCAAGACAGACAGAGGAAAGCTCATAATAAGTGTTCCGCTCTCTTGCGGGTTTATGACAACCAAGATAGATTGCCCCATACTATTTCAATAATACATATTGATAAACAAGCCGAGTTGCACCTCCTCCATGGAGAGAAGGCGGGAGATCCTATGGGGGTGCAATTTTTACATCTATTTTCAGTAAACGTATTCATAGCTTTCAATTTATTCCAATTAGGGGCCCTTGAAGAACATGATGAATGATTAGGAACACTAGGTAGCCCAGCCCTCCTGGAAATGGGGCAGAACGTGGGCAATTATTTTTATTGCTTTTTAATGTACCATGGCTGTAGCCAATGTGGTTGCTGGGAAGTTTTTGGCATTCCCAATTGAGAAAACTTGCAGGAACAAAGTTTCAGTGGTTAGACTAGGGAAAACAATGTCTGCTAGTGTCATAACCCAATTCACAACCCTGATCCTTTTTCATACAACTATGGGTGTTAATTTCAAGCTGTGTTGAAAGCCATTTTCCCTTCAGCAGATAATTAGTTAAAAAGGAATACCTCCACGATGCAGGAGAATGTGTCTTCCCTGTAATTAACTTCCCAAATCTACAAGTCTCAATAGCTTCAATGGATCTATTGACTGCAATCACTGTCCTGGGGAACAGCTAAGGATCCAGCCAGAGATGTGGTAGGGAAATCCCAATTTGGGAGAAGACAGGATATAAATGCACTAAATAATAATATCTGAAAGCAAAATATGGCAGGGGAGGAATGGGGGATTCTCAGAGTACTCCGTAAGGGGTGAGGGTTCAAGGCAAAGGAAAACGGGAAGCATTGACAATGTTGTTTTATGTTCTCCAAGTTTATTCTTGCCAGCTACTTAAAAAACCTCAAAGACCTGTTCCCCTTCTTCTGCCTAAACCAATCACATACTCCACTGGTTTTATTCTCCAACCCTGACTGATTGGTTTGACCCGCAAATCTCAGGAGCTAGGAGGAAGCCAGCAATCAAGCTCTCCAAAACCCAGAGAAATGATCATGTCTTCACTTGACACAAACAGTTGCATCCCCATTAAAAACGTGATAATATTGTATAAATGATTCCTAGGCCCTGTCACATATTCCATTCCAATAGAAAAGAAAATAATATTTATCCATTGTGTCTGAAGAGTTTCTGTTAAGAATGGCCATTTCATGATACAAACTATGCCAAGAACAGCGAAAGTATTAGAAAAAATTTAGGACAATGTCATAAAATGCAACTCATTTCAATATTATACTTTTATTAACAACTTCACATGCAGAACAGAATGGAACGGCAGCTTCTGACCCAACCAAACCAAATGCACAAGACACACATGACTGGATGACACTGCTGCAATAAGCATCAAAGCATCCACGGAATCCACGTTCCGATTTCCATTCTGGGCCACAAAGAGTCTTCCAGAAAAACAGCCCCGGAACACAATGATCAAGCTATCCAAATAACCCACCCAAATGCGCCAGTCATGCACAACTGGATGGCGTTCATGAAGTATGCCACGCAACATCCATAGAAGCAAATTAGCCATTCTGGGTCGTCAACTCTATTCCAGTTTCTGATACAGTGGTGCCTCGCAAGACGGAATTAATCCGTTCCATGAGTCTCTTTGTCTTGCGGTTTTTTCGTCTTGCGAAGCACGGCTATTAGCGGCTTAGCAGCTATTAACGGCTTAGCGGCTATTAACGGCTTAGCGGCTTTAAGAAAAAGGAAACAAACTCGCAAGAACTCACAAGACGTTTCGTCTTGCGAAGCAAGCCCATAGGGAAATTCGTCTTGCGGAACGACTCAAAAAACAGAAAACCCTTTCGTCTAGCGAGTTTTTCGTCTTGCGAGGCATTCGTCTTGCGGGGCACCACTGTACAGCCAAATGAACCAAATTCATGGGTCATACATGACTTGATGAGGTTCCAGCCCAGTTCTGCTTATTGGAAAAGGTGGGTGGATGATAACACGCTTCCTGGTGGTATTGGCATCGCGCTTCCTGGTGGTACTGGGAATATTTAGTGGTACAGATTTCAGAAGCAGTGAAAAGTTAACAAGCCAAACTTGCAACTCTTTGAACCAGGCCATTGTAATTGCACAACTTGTTCTGCTGTCATGCCTGATGAAATGTGCTGTCCCTTGAACTCTGTTTTATTGAGGTGATGACGGCAAGCGTTGCCATGCATTGTTATTTTTCTAACCGTGTCTCCTGCCCACACAGCTCTCAAACTGCACACATGATTAGGGGGATAGTGGTGCTTAATGGTACTAAAGCAGCTTCGTAAAGAAAACCAAGGTCATTGCAAATTACACAGGTTTTATTTAGTCTTCTTAACTCTTGTCCTCAGTTCATCATGCATCTCATGTTTTCCATTTATTTCTCATACAGAATAAGAAAAAATGCAGACTTTTTCCCATTGAAAAGAAGCTGGAAATTCTAAGGACAGTTACTTTGTATTATTTTTTGAAATGTGAATTTCACTGAAAATATGTTTTAATGTTTTAATGTTTCTTACTTAAACGGAGCAATCTTTATAAGAACATCTTTATAAGAACTAGATTTTTTGTTAACACAAAGATGTTTCTTTGAAAAATGTGAATGTATTTTATATGTACTGTATTTTTCCGTGTATAAGACACCACCTATTTTTGGGGACTCCGTATTAAGAAAACACCCCTCAGCACTACCCGTGTATAAGACAAGCCCCAATTTTAAACTAACTTTTTTGGTAAAGAAACCTAGTCTTATACACGGAAAAATACAGTACTTTTGCCATAGAAATGCTTTCTTTAAATAAATGGCTTCTTTTCATTTCTCATTTCTTATGCATTTTGCAATAATCATTCTGTTTGCTTCTTCTAGTACAGCATTAATTCATGCAGCTACAGCCAAAGTGAATTATTTTTCTCTAAAGGAAAAGTTAAGAAGGAAAGCTTCACAAACCCTTTGAGCAATTATTGCTGACGTGTGAGGCTTTTCAGCACCACCAAAGCAAATAAACAAAAAACAATTAGGGCCAACAACACAACTGAGGATCAATGAGCAAGCAAACTTTTAAAATAGCCAAATAGTAAAACAAAGGACAAACTCTGTGTGTCCTCCCCCTCCTCACCATTTTTTGGGCTTTTTCCCACTCCACTCCTGCCAAACCAGCTTTCCCCTTCGTTTGTCATCTTTTGCCAGCTGAGCAGAACACAACCCAGAAGCTGTCCCCCACTCCCCAATTTATCCTAACCCCATAATTCCTGCAACTATCCCAAAATTCTGCAGGTTAGTTTTCTAGGGATACCTCTACTGCGTATTGATGGATTCATTTTAAAAATGCCCACAAAACCAAAAAGATGCTAATCTCTTTTAGTCCACCTACCCAAATAACAAATAACTATAAAAGGTACTTGGCACACACACAAAAACCAACAACCCTGGGTCTATCTGTTTGTAATTTGGCCGGTTTCTATGTTGTATGCCATTTCCATATAAATTGCTCACAAAACAATAGGAGCAAACAAAGGAATAAGGGAAGCCTTTCGCTCCATGCTTTGCTTGTGAGCTTCCAGGGGTACCTGGCTGGATTCATCTCAGAATGGAGTGCCGTGTTAGATATGCCTTGGTCTCACCCAAATAGGCAAGGTTTCTGCTCTTGGCCAGAAAACTGCCGAATGAAAATTTCCCCTTGCCATGCATAGCTAGGTGCAGCAGATGAACAGGTCCCTGGAGGTGCCATGCCTGGCGTAGGAAGCTCACCCTCAACAAATTTATGATTACAGTGGTACCTCGGGTTAAGTACTTAATTCATTCCGGAGGTCTGTTCTTAACCTGAAACTGTTCTTAACCTGAAGCACCACTTTAGCTAATAGGACCGTGCCGCTGCTGCGCGATTTCTGTTCTCATCCTGAAGCAAAGTTCTTAACCCGAGGTACTATTTCTGGGTTAGCGGAGTCTGCAACCTGAAGCGTATGTAACCCGAGGTACCACTGTACTCATGTTTGTAAACAACAGTAGCCTATAAAAATCCAAGTCTTCTCATGTGTAAAATAAAGCCCAAGAATTACACAACTTTGAGAAAACATCTGAAGGCTTACGGAAGTTTTTAATGTACATTTTATTATTTTTTATATATTGCTTTAAGCCGCCCAGGGTGGCTGGGGAAACCCATCCAGATGGGCAGGGTATAAACAATAAATTTATTATTATTATTATTATTATTAAGGAGTAGCTGCACACCAAACTATTGGGTTCTTTATTTACTCCGCAAATTAAGTGTAACAAAAGGAGGGATGGCCTAATGTGTGCCATCTGAGACCCATCAGTTGTAGGGGAGGGCTACTTTTCTTATGTAACCCTCTCACCTCTTCACTGGCAGAAAGTAAGGTTGGGGTCCTGGGGGTCTACTAGTGCTCACTGCACACGCACACCAACACACACACAAAAGCCTGGATTTCAATTTTGAAACTGTTTTTATTTAAATGTGGGGGGAAAGGGACAATAACTTGCAGCATCAACTGTTTTGTATTAGAAAAAAAACAAAGAAGGGTGATAACACAGGGTTAAAGGGCAACCCAGTAGTCTAATATACTCCCTAAAGTCCAGACATGACAAAGAGATACGTCACATGGGCCATTGGGAACCTACAAATAACTCTACGAACGGTGCAAATTTCCCTACTTTCCCCTGCAAGATTCCTGATGCGCCTGCCCCCTGCTTGCAGGCTTTCCGTCGGCACGTGGTTGGCAGCTGGAAGAATAGGATGCTGGAGTAGATGAGCCTTTGGTCGGATCCAACAGAGCTGTTCTTAGGTTTTCTGAAACCACTCCAAGTAACGTTGTTGTCTACTTACTGCTGAGTAGGTCTTCCTTTCTCAGGCATGCTAGGTTGGCTAGCCGTCTCGGTGACTGAGGTTTTGGAGAAGGGCTGAGAAAGATGAGGGCACCACAAAACAAAGCCCTCTCCATGTGTATGTTCATAGCAGTTCTCACAGACCAGCATGTCCTCAGACATCAGCACTTTTGCCAGGCAGAAAGGAGACTCAGGAGATCTCATCTTCGCCTCCACCCAGTTCATGGGCTTGTTACTATTATTCTGTTTTTTAGTCATGTTGGATTGGGATCACAGTCATTCATTGGGCAGTGGGAATAACATCCAACCAAATGTAGTTTTTGCAGCCTGATTGTTTTACACAAATCCATGTACTCTCAATTCACATGTAAGTTGACTCATTCCCAAGTGATTAAGCTGTTTCAGGGGTTCAGCCTCCTGCAGTGCGTCCAATCCTAGGCACATTTGCTCAAAATTAAGTGGTTTGCACCCAAGCAAAAGATCATAGGATTGCAACCCCAAAGTGTGACCCTAGGCATATTTACTTAGAAGTAGGTCCTATTCTGTTCAATGGCTTTTGTCGCGAGTAAGTGTATGTAGGATTGCAGCCTCAGCACCCACACTTTCATGGGAGCAAGCTTCATCAGACTTACTTCTAAGTAAATATCCACAGAGGTCGGCTGCATGCCTTGTAAGATTTATTCACACTGAATAGACGTCAAGTGGGTCTGAAAGTATGGCAGCAGCCATCCTAAAGGACCAGAGGTTCCCCATTCCCCAAAAGGAGCTTCAGTTATTCTTCCTTATGACTGGATCATGAGCAGCTCTGCCTACTGGCAATGGAGAGAGTCAACTCCACCTTATTTTCCCAGAGCTTCTCATCTCCTTGAAAAATAGGGCTGCAATCCTTACCCCACTTCCGTGGGAGAAAGTCCCATTCTATTCCTATAAAAGGAAGTGGGAGTCTTCCTTTATTTCCCTTTTGATTAACTTCTGGCCTCCCCAGGGCTGACCTGAGATACCTTTCCTTTTGTTCTTGTTGCACATGAAAAGAGTTGCACCTGAATAGCACCTGCTTAACAACACTTTAAACAAACAAAAAGGGGGGAAGGTATACCTTCACCCCCTCAAACTTTTGCTTATACTCTTTGGTCACAGAGTTGCAATACCAGAGGATGAGGGGAAGGAAAGGGCAGCCAGCTGCCTAACTCAGATCGGACTGGTTTTCTTCAGGCAAGTGGATGGTTTCTGATCTGCCAGAGGGCAGAAACATCTCCGTAGTTAATACATACACACACGCACATATGTATTATTGTGGATGAGGTGGGTAGCGTCGCTGGAAAATCCTTGGGCCGGTGCCTGAGGCTGCTGGCGTGGTAACCTGTTAAAGAAAGAATTAGAAATTCAACTTAACGCAAACCCTTCAAAAATAATGCAGCCCAGAAGCAAACGGAAGTTAAATAAACATTTGCACATGCAACCCATTTGGATACAAGGCCTCCATTTTCATGCATTTTATAGTCATGGATTTTGAGATGCTTAACAGAATTTTAGACACGCATCCTCTGAAATAGTCTTAGCTCTCCCTCTACACGATGGCACGATGGCAGGGCCAGCCTTGAGCACAGCTCTACACTCAAACCAGCACCTGCATCAGACGTGCTTCATGAGCTTTGACAAAGGACCTTTGCCAAATGGTAACTGTCCATGAAACCAGCCAAAGAAACAACAACCCTACAATGGAGAGGTATCATGGTTTTTATCCAAGTGTAACCTGCACGTGCATAAGCAGTATAGCTCCAGGGAGAAAGAGCAGGAAAGGCGACACCCCCCCCCCCCGTGCCCTAACAACAGGCTGCCGCTTGAACAAGAGAGCTGGACTTGAACACGCTTCCCCGACTTGGCTACTCCAGTTGTTGTAGGACTGAATCCCTTATCACCCCTTTGAATCAGGCTCTTAAGGAACTCGATAGTCCAAACAGGGGTCAGCAAACTTTTTCAGCAGGGGGCCGGTCCACTGCCCCTCAGACCTTGGGGGGGGGACTATATTTGGGGGGGGAATGAACGAATTCCTATGTCCCACAAATAACCCAGAGATGCATTTTAAATAAAAGGACGCATTCTACTCATGTAAACACGCTGATTCCTGGACCGTCTGCGGGCCGGATTGAGAAGGTGATTGGGCCGTGAAAGCACTGAAGGGTTGGACAATGGCAGATGAAGTTGATGGACTATATGGAATTGGCAGAAATGACTGGCAAGATCCAAGACCAGGGAGAAGAGTCGGGGGAAGAAGACTGGAAAAAGTTTAAAGACTATTTATAGAAATATGGTAAAATTAATGAATGTTAGAAGAATGTTGGAATGAAGTTATATGGCTTTAGTAGAAATGTTATAAGGAATTAAGTATAAATAGATTAATAGAAAATTAAATGAGAAATAAGGCAAGAATGTGTTAAGATAATTATAGGATAGAAAACAGAGGAAGATGGAAAGGAATTGCTGAAACAATAAATAGAAGTGGAATACAAAAAGGGAGGTGAGAGGAGGTCGTTGGAAATAAGTGAATGAAAGATAGGATATTGAAAACGTTTGAGGTGTTTTTAAATTGTTTTTGTTTGTTTCTGTTTTGTTTTGTATGTAGTGTTTTTGTATTGTATTTGTATTGTTCTTTTTTTCTTTTTTTCCCTTTTTTTGTAGTGTTGTGTTGAAGTTGTTTGAAAAGTAATAAATATCATTTTTTTAAAAAAGAGAGAGAGAAGGTGATTGGGCCGGATAATAATAATAATAATAATAATAATAATAATAATTTATTATTTATACCCCGCCCATCTGGCTGGGCTTCCCCAGCCACTCTGGGCGGCTTCCAAAAGAATATTAAAATACTATAATACATCAAACATTAAAAGCTTCCTGAAACAGGGCTGCCTTCAGATGTCTTCTAAAAGCCTGGTAGTTGTTGTTCTCTTTGACATCTGGTGGGAGGGTGTTCCACAGGGAAGGCGCCACTACCGAGAAGGCCCTCTGCCTGGTTCCCTGTAACTTGGCTTCTCGCAGTGAGGGAACCGCCAGAAGGCCCTTGGCGCTGGACCTCAGTGTCCGGGTAGAACGATGGGGGTGGAGACGCTCCTTTGGGTATACGGCCTTTGAGGCCGTTTAGGGCTTTGAAGGTCAGCACCAACACTTTGAATTGTGCTCTGAAACGTCCTGGGAGCCAATGCAGGTCTTTCAAGACCGGTGTTATGTGGTCTCTGCGGCCGCCCCCAGGCCCCCAGGCTTTAGTTTGCCTACCCATGGTCCAAAACCTGGGGAGGACACCAGGTTGCAGATGGCTGAACAAGGAGGGATGCCTGGCCTCACCCAAGAAAACAATTCTTACATTGCTGCTGCTGCTGCTGCTGCTGTTACCATCATTACTAGAGTTTATTTGTATACAACGTTGCGGGAATGCACATGCGCAGAAACCATACCTGAGCCGGACGGTAAAGTGGAACTGCCCCTCCTCTTGGGGGTGGAGGCACATGATCAGGGATGGAGAAAGTAGCCTGAAACATGAACCAGAAGAGACAAGGTGTGAAACCCAGCGAAGATGCCAGGATCCATTGCTTGGCAGGGGGCGGGCAGAGTAGGAAGGGGGCAGCAGAACCACCAGAAATGCAGGACATTATATTGGGAGATAAGTGGGTGGTGCTGTGGGTTAAACCACAGAGTCTAGGACTTGCCGATCAGAAGGTTGGCGGTTCGAATCCCCGCCACGGGGTGAGCTCCTGTTGCTCTATCCCAGCTCCTGCCAACCTAGAAGTTCAAAAGCACACCAGTGCAAGCAGATAAATAGGTACCACTCCGGCGGGAAGGTAAAGGTTGTTTCCGTGCGCTGCTCTGGTTTGCCAGAAGCGGCTTAGTCATGCTGGCCACATGACCCGGAAGCTGTACGCCGGCTCCCTCGGCCAATAAAGCGAGATGAGCGCCGCAACCCCAGAGTCGTCTGCAACTGGACTTAATGGTCAGCGGTCCCTTTACCTTTACTATATTGGGAGAAATGCTCTCAAGGCATCTGGATTTGCACTTCTGTCAACACAGATTCAGAGGAGCAGTTTTCCAAAGTTGAGGCCTCTCCTCACAAGGAACATGTTATTCCCGCCCCCACTTTCTCTCACCTGGCCTCCAGCATCTGGAAACATGGAGCCTTCCCTGCTGCTATGGCCTAGTGGAGTTTGGGCCCCTGTGACGAAAAAAGTGCCATGAGATTATTTCAGTTTGTACAAGGGGGCTATTCTGCCGCAGCCCCTTTGCCTTACCACTCCCCACAAAAGCTTCTACAAAAGACTAGGGGATCCCTCCAGAGTTATTTGCGGGGTCCTATGGGCCACAGCAAGGTTCGTACACAAACAGCCTTTATTACTATCCGTCAAGAACACATTCTGCAATGCACACAGGAAGATACTTACGAAGAGAGCTTTTTGGGAGAGGGTTGCCACCTGTGGGCGGCAGGTGAGGAACAGCTGGAGGAGGAAGTATTGCAGGCCTTGTCTCCTCCACAGGAGGAAGGGATGGTTGTGAAGTCACCTGCTGCTGCAGAACAGAAATAATATATCAGTGATGGAGCCAAGTAGAATTTACCCTCAGCCTACCTTTGTTAGGAGGGACGCAGGTGGCGCTGTGGGTTAAACCACAGAGCCTAGGGCTTGCCGATCAGAAGGTCAGTGGTTCAAATCCCTGCGACGGGGTGAGCTCCCGTTGCTCGGTCCCTGCTCCTGCCAACCTAGCAGTTCAAAAGCACGTCAAAGTGCAAGTAGATAAATAGGCACCACTCTGGTGGGAAGGTAAGTGGTGTTTCTGTGCGCTGCTCTGGTTCACCAGAAGCAGCTTAGTCATGCTGGCCCCATGACCCGGAAGCTGTACGCCGGCTCCCTCGGCCAATAAAGTGAGATGAGCGACGCAACCCCAGAGTCAGCCACGACTGGACCTAATGGTCAGGGGTCCCTTTACCTTTACCTTTGTTAGGATCCCAACAGATTCCCCCACCACTTCTTTTTTTATTGTATTTTTTAAAAGGATCACTCAGTACTAGATCCTGCACTTGACTTGGAGGAGTGTGGTTTCCCTAACTTGTTTTGTTTTGTTTTGTACTTTCACAAACCTTGTAGTACATGCTGATACCTGCCTCTGGTTTCTTCATTTGCCTGCAACCCTGTTAGCACTCGCCAACTGAGCTTGCTATTAGAGGAGCGGGTCATTATTTTTTGACCACCATCGAGAAAACTTATGACAAGCCACATGGCTGCAGGCTCACCATAATGACATGGGGAATTGGGAACAGAATACAGGATTTGAGAGGCATCTTTCAGAGGAGACAACCCTGGAAATATGAAGCAAGGTCCTATAAAGTGGTGTCCCCCCCCAAACTCTTGGGTGTTGCTGAAGTTATTGGCAGGCCAGTAAAGGATTATTCAGCCTGCTGTAGCAATTGTAATGCACTGTGATAATGCTATATGATTTTTAATTGCCTCTTTAATGCCTCTTTTATTTCATATATTGTATTTTGCTCTACTACAATTTGAATCCCACAGAATTCAAATTGTAATACGATAAAACATAACAGAGGAAATACAAGAAGCAGTAAAAAAAGTAAAATTGGAAATCATTGTGAATATTTAACATATGGACGCGCCATTTCCCGTCTACAACCACAAATCCACAGTTTGGGAAACCCTGGACTAATAAAACTCAGAAGTCAGAGTTCCAGCAGATGAACTTCAGTAACTTGGACAATTCCCTAATCCTTTTCCATCGCTCCTGTTTGCTCCTCCTTTGGCATTCCTGACCTGTGCCCCTTCCTCCTCCTTTATTCTGTCATAGAATCATAGAATTGTAGAGTTGGAAGGGATCCCAAAGGTCATCTAGCCCAACCCCCTGCAATGCAGGAATCTCAGCAAAAGCATCCATGACAGGTGGCCATCCAGCCTCTGCTTAAAAACCTCAAAGGAAGGGGAGCCCAAAGGAGCTCCCAAAGGAGCCCATTCCACTGGCGAACAGCTCTTGCTGTCAGAAAGTTCTTCCTGATCTTTAGCCGGAATCTCCTTTCTTGCAACTTGAAGCCATTGGTTTGAGTCCTGCCCTCCAGAGCAGGAGAAAACAAGCATGCTCCCTTCTCCATGCGACAGCCCTTGAGATATTTGAAGATGGCTATCATATCTCCTCTCAGCCTCCTCTTTTCCAGGCTAAACATATCCAGCTCCTTCCATCGTTCCTCATAAAGCTTGGTTTCCAGACCCCTGATCATCTTGGATGCCCTCCTCTGCCCATGTTCCAGCTTATCAACATCCTTCTTAAATTGTGGTGCTCAGGACTGGATACATTATTCCAGCTGTGGTCTGACCAAGGCAGAATAGAGTAGTACTATTACTTCACTATACTTCTGTTGAGGCAGCCTAGAATAGCATTAGCTTTTTTTGCAGCTGCATCACACTGCTGACTCACGTTAAGCTTGTGGTCCACCAAGACCCCAAGATCTTTTCCACATGTACTGCTAGTAAGCCAGGTGTCTCCCATTTTATATTTGTGCAGCTGGTTCTTCCTTCCTAAGTGCAAAACCTTACATTTGTCTCTAATGAAATTCATTTTGTTAGTTTTAAAGCCCGGGTCTGTTGTTTCAGTCAAAGAATTCTAATTGTGATGTGAATTATCAACCGGACAAAATCTGTGCAAAATTTCTTCCTCCACCTAACTTTTTAAAGCACAGGACTGGCCTTGCTTCATTCCAAGAGCATACTCTATAATCCTAGTTGTTTTTAGCTTATTGATGAGTTTATATTTTGAATGATTTAAAAAAGTTGTTCTACGTTTTTTACTGATCATTCTGGGTTTTCACTGATCATTTTATTGTTCTTGTTGTAAACGCTTTGGGGGCTTTTGAGGAAAAAAACATTCAGAATTGGTGTATATAAATTATGAAATAAAATAAGTAATTGTAGACACTGGGATTAAGAGCTGCTATCCGTTACTTCTGCCCCTGTTTGCCCTCACCCCCTTCTTTCCTTTCCACTTCATTTCTGATACTACAATTTTAAGTCCACCATTGTCTCATGACACCAACACATGACAGGCACTTATGAACTACGCTCCTTGCATGGATCTGTGGCAGCCATTTTCAGGCTGTGCACCAGAGAACCCTGAGGCCCCTTGGATGCTTATCAGTGGGCAGACCACAATGGTAGTTGTTAGGAACGTTGGGTGTGGGGTGCAGGTTATTCTGATTATTGCAGCAAGCAGAAAATTCCTCTTAAAGAGATCCTGCATTACCTGAGAATCTGGAGCAGCAGCAGATGGTACCTTTTTGGAGGGTTCAGCTTCTTTAGAGGGTTTCGATCGGAACCAACGGAACCAGCCAGACCCAGAGGCCTGGAAAAATAGAAAGGGTGGGTTCATTAAGACTACAAACCCTATGCACACTTACCTGGCCGTAAGCTAAACACAGCAAGAGTCACTTCTGAGGAAACATGTATAGGACGGGGCTGTACTTAAACGCTGTGTGAAGTTCTATATGAATGAATGGATTGCAATACTCCCAGCCACCTGAAAGGTGAATTAGACCTTGATCGTGGCTCTAAATCCAAGAGGACATGATTCTGTCCTTCCTAATCTGCTGCAAAGCAGAAATGAAATCCTGTGGGCCTGGGCATATTTTTCAGACACCACTGGTGCCCTTCTCAGTCAGATGCCTCACTGTTATGTACTGAGTTGAATAGGATCCAAACTGCAGCAGTCTGATTGGTCCTAGAACAATAGGATCCAAAAGGCAGCAGTCTGATTGGTCGTAGAACAATAGGATTCAGAATGCAGCAGTCTGATTGGTCCTAGAACAATGCAGCAGTATGATTGGTTGGCAGGAACTACCCAATCATGCTCCAGATAGAAGTGAATCCACAACCTGATTGGCTTACAGTAGAATTCCGGAATTAGCCAATCATGTGCAGCCCATTGTGTAAATAATGTATATAAAGCAGATACTTTGAGGGGACATTCATTCATTCCTCCTCACCACTATGAGCTGAATAAAGAGCATGAAATCACTTTGCGACTCTGAGTATATTTCACTCACCTTTGCTTCTTTTTGTTCCGTTTCATCCTGTGGTAGCTTCTCTGATGTGGCTTCCTCTCCTGATGCTTCTGTGAGCTGTGGGCATCCTCAACCATGGATACTGTGGAACTCTCAGAAATGGTCCGAGTCCGAGCCTTTAAAGTGTTCTGGCACCAAGAAGAAAACACGGAGCAGGTTCTCTTCACTGAAAAAACTTCGTGGCTTCATCTTACCGGTTTATATTGTAACCTTATCCCCTAAGGACCTCTCCTGACATCACTCACCATCACAAGAGTCCTGTGAGACAGATCAGTATTACTCCTGTGGAAGCGGGAAGGGCCAAATGTGGCTGGAACATGGCAGCCTTGGACAAGTCACAAAGGAAGTCCTGCTATGGCAGAGTTGGGACATGAGCCCAAGTTTCCTGAACCCACTTACTTTTTGAAATTGCTGTATAGTTTAAAGAAAAAAATAAAATGTTGTGTAACAATTAAAGCAACAGCTCTCCCGTGGCGTTCCACTAGACCACATAGCTCACCGTTTGTTTATTTAATAAAATAATGTTTGATTGTCCCGCCTGGCCTTTGGCTTGGAATCTCCCCCTTTCCTTTTTCCTTTCTCCTTCTGTGATGGAACTCCTATCTGGGGACTTCCCTGGCTTTTTTCTGGCCCATGTAGGACAGGTCTGGATAGTTGGCCTTGATGGAGATTTGACGTTTTCATCCCCCAAAAGTTTTTGATTTGAGTTTCTATTGAAATGAGGCTGAATTTTAATGTTGTATTTTAATCTTGTTTTTAAGTTGTATCTTAATCAATTGTTTTATATCTGGTGTTAGCCGCCCTGGTCTTGGCTGGGGAGGGCGGGGTCTAAATAAAATTTACTATTATTATTTATTATTATTACTATAATTATTATTATCATTATGTTGCTATTATTATTATTATTATTATTATTATTATTATTATTATTATTATTATTAAAAACCAACAACCTCAAAGCGGTTTACAAAAAGATTAAGAGCAATACAGTACAATCGAGAAAAATTCACAACCCTACTTTAAAACATACAAAAGTTAAAATACTGAAACAGATTAAAATTCCCTCAGTTTTCTAAGCATTTGGGTTGGCTTGTCTAAACATGAATGTTTTCAAGCAGGCACCAAAAAGAATCAGATAGGAAGGGGCCCCGAGGGTCATCTAGTCCAACCCCCGGGGGTAATGCAGGAATCCTGCCCACAGCATTCCCTGGTGGGCTCAAACCACCAACCTTCTGGTTAGCAGACAGATGCACTGACCCACTGCGCCACAGGAGGGCAAGGGCAGAGGCACGTCAGCTGAGAAGGGTAGGTGCATGTGTCAACAAGAACAACAGAGCAATAAGAAGATGAGCCCTGCTGGGTCAAACCAAAGGCGTATCTCCCCGTCTGAGAAGCTCACAAGCAGGACATACAGGCAGTTGCCCTTTCCCAGTGGCTTTAGCCATCATGAGTAGCAGAAATTAAATTCATTTCACATTGGAAGCAGCGGTTTATCAAATTTGGACCTTCCAAAACAATATGGCAATTGAAACACAACGGTTCTTCGAAATTCATACTTTCAAAATTCATCCAGATTTCGTGACGCAGTTCTCCAGCCATCCAAAGATCACAAAAGTGATTGTATTAGGTGAAAGTGTGCATAAAAACCTAACATGTTAGTGAAAGTAACATTTAAAAAACAGGTCAACAATGCATATGAAGTGGTGCTTATTAGGAGCAATTTGCACAAAAATGTTGAAGGATGCTCGTGAGCAGCTATTAAAAGGAAATCCACCAATTGCTTCAGAAAGGTGGGGAACTAAATTTAAGATTGGATTAAAATGAGAAACGGAGAGATCTTTCCACCCCTAACAGCCACTGTAAGTAAGCCTTATCCTCTGTGGATTTGCCTAATCCCACTTTAAAGCCATCCAATTTATCACCATATCTTGTGGCAGTGAGTTCCATAGTTCAGCTACCCCCCCCCCCAAACTCTCACCTGATGCTCCGGAATGCTCTCCTGATCACCCAGGAAGTGGTACGGGCCACAGGATTCCGCGGTGCCCCCTGCAGATTACACCAGAACAGGTTTTATTGGACCCACCAGCCTAGATCTGGAGTTCAAAATGGCAAGAGCTGTTAGAAGGCAGTTCCCTGGAAATGGCCTCTGCAGCCAAAGCGTCCAGGACACAAGGACTGCCAGGTACAAACAAAGGCAGAAGCAGGAAGCGAACTCTTACGCCTTTTAGCAAAAGCAGGGACCTGCTTTTCTCCCTGGTCCCCACCCAATCCAAAGCATGTCTGCTGGGAAGCAAGTTCTGCTGGTTTCAATAATGCCTGGTTCTATGTTGGGACAGGGCTCCTGTGCCTTTAAAAAAAACAGCCTGAGAAGTTGAAATTTTACGGGCGAAGCGTTCTCCATCAGGCATAGGCAAACTCGGCCCTCCAGATGTTTTTGGCCTACAACTCCCATGATCCCTAGCTAACAGGACCAGTGGTAAGGGGTGATGGGAATTGTAGTCTCAAAACATCTGGAGGGCCAAGTTTGCCTATGCCTGATATAGACTGTCAGGCAGCTGTCAAATGCTTAGGAGCCCCTCCACCTGCAAAAGAGGAGCGACAATCATTTTCCAGAACCCTGATTTATCGCTGATTCTTTTGCCCACCCTCCGTCTCGGTCATCTTAAATATATCTGGGCCCCCCAGCAGAGACAGAGGACGTGGGAAAGGGCATGGCTTGCCTTATCTCCCAAGGCCACCAAAATCAATAAATTTTAAAAAATGCAATATATGTTTTCCAGATGGAGACCAGGGAACTAGTACAGTGGTCCCCGCAAGACGAATGCCTCGCAAGACGAAAAACCCGCTAGACGAAAGGGTTTTCCGTTTTTGAGTTGCTTCGCAAGACGATTTTCCCTATGGGCTTGCTTCGCAAGACGAAAACGTCTTGCGAGTCTTTTTCCGCTCCCCCCCCCTTTTTCTAAGCCGCTAAGCCACTAATAGCCTTTTAGCCGCTAAGCCGCTAAGCCTTTAATAGCCGCTAAGCCGCTAAACCGCTAATAGCGCTAATCCGCTAAGCCACTAATAGGGTTGCTTCGCAAGACGAAAAAACCGCTAGACGAAGAGACTCGCGGAACGGATTATTTTCGTCTTGCGAGGCACCACTGTACATGCACACACCATCGCAAATCATTTCAACCGTCTCTTAACCTGGTGGTTGTTGTTGTGAGGAGAGGTCAGCTGGATGTCCTCCAGGAGGGGAAACATAACCGTGGTCACTTCCTGGAAGACAAGTCTCCACACCCGCATCAGTTGTATCTACAGGAGGCCCAGGATAGAAATGCCTTCTCTGTCCCACATTGAGCTGGTCCTGAGCTGAGTCCACCGGTGGCAGGTAAGTCGAAGGATGAGGCTCCAGGTCCTTCAAGCAGCCTTGGCTTTGTGCAAACTCAGAACGGGGAGCCAAATCTGGATAATGTAAGATTTGATGGATTAGATCAGTATATCCCCCATTTCATAGATGGCCTGCACACCTGTTCAAACTCCAAGGCTACAAATGAGATACTTTAAGCAGGAATGCCAATAGCTATTAGATCAGAACAGCTGAGCAGCTGGATCCAATCCTCTTATTATTCCCACTTACTGTTTCCAGCAGAAGCCAGTCTCTTAATAAAGCATGAAAGAGTGGGGCTTCTCCTTTAATTTGTCCACAGCATCTGGTATTCAAAGGTATACTGCCTCTTACCATGGAAGTTCCATTTAGCTACCCGTTAGAAAGCCTATATTCCACGAATAGGCTTATATTTTCAGCTTTAAAAAACAACAACAAAGCCTTTCAGAGACTGGGGCTGAATATCTGGGAACTTTAGCAGCTGATCCTGTTAAAACTCCTCAGAATCTTTAGGTTTGAACAGTACAGTGGTGCCTCGCAAGATGAAAAGAATCCGTTCCGCGAGTCTCTTCGTCTTGCGGTTTTTTCGTCTTGCGAAGCAAGCCCATTAGCGGCTTAGCGGATTAGCGCTATTAGCGGCTTAGCGGGCTTAGCGGATCAGCTGATAAGCGACTTAGCGGCTTAGCGGATCAGCTGATAAGCGGCTTAGCGGCTTGGGAAAGGGGGGAAAGGAAAAAAACCTGCAGGAACTCGCAAGACATTTTCGTCTTGCGAAGCAAGCCCATAGGAAATTCGTTTCGCGAAGCACCTCCAAAACGGAAAACCCTTTCGTCTAGTGGGTTTTCCGTCTTGCGAGGCATTCGTCTTATGGGGCACCACTGTAGTGAGAAAACCCAGCTTGACAGACCACTCATCCAGCTAACATTGCAATCTTCCCCATAAGACCCATTGAACTCTCCTGGGCTTTATTCAAAAGCATACAGGAAGCAAACAGGCCTTTCTGAAGGTCTTGTAGAATTTAGATCCCTTGCCCAATGAAGGCTAGAGACAGGAAGAACAGAATGAGACCCTCAGAAACAGCCAAAGCCGAGCCCCTTTTAACCTATTCCGATGCATTTACTGCCAGAGCAACAGGGTCCACCTGTTGTTCAAATTTCAGGGCATCCACACTGTCAACAAGGGGCTCCAAATTGGAGACAATGGGCCTACAACCTAGATTACTTTACCTGATCAAAAAGCTTTACACAAAGAACACCTATTTCATAAGAACAACACCAGGGAATGTAATGACAGTTCCTGTTGTTATAAACAGAGGAGTAAAGCAGGGCTGTGTACTCGCTCCCTCTCTTTTTAATCTTTTTCTTAACGACCTCGCTTCTCTATGAAAACAGGTGGATGCCCACAGCCCAAAACTCAAACCATCAAGCACTCCCATCCTTCTATACGCAGATGATATGAATTGGCCTAAAACGTTTGTTTAATTCCTGAATTGACTATCTGTCCAGAATGAAATTGTGCATGAACTTTGATAAAAAGCAAAATAATGGTTTTTGGGAATTCACGCAAAAGCTATAGCTGGGTATTTGGTGGAAAACCCATCTAGCAGGTATTCAAATTCACCTACCTGGGAATCACATTCCATCATAGGCTCCTATGGCCCTCGCACCGTGCAACGGCAGTGAATGCCAGTAAGATGTCTATGCAGGCCATAATTCATTTCTTTATAACAAGAGGTAATTCGCATATCCCCTCTGCCCTTAAGATCTTCAACGCCAAAGTTATAGCTCAATTGCTCTACGGAATTCCAATCTGGCTGCCAGGGTTTACCCAGCTGGTAGGAGTGAGGCAGCTTTCCTTTTTAAGATTTTTGCTGTCCCACGTTGTGTACCCTATGCAGCCTTGTGTCTAGAGGGAGGTCAACACAGGGTAGAGACGGTAGCCTGGGTGAGATTTCTTACATGCTGGTTAAACATCAGCCTCACAACAGATAAAGATCCTCTCCTTAGTGAAGTTTTGCTAGATCCCTTTCTTTCCCCAGGGCTACAACGGTTTAACATAAAGGTACAGCAACTTGGGCTGTCAGTGGAATTTTTGCGATCGATGCCCTCACCACCTGCCAAGGCTATAATAAAAACTAGGTTGTGGGACATTGAACTCCAGGAATTAGCAGTACCAGTGGAGAAAACATGTTCCCCTCTTAACTTTCAACTTTCTTGGGCACATAAAATTAACCACAATTATCTTGAATTTTTGATTGATCCTCAAGAAAGAAGGGCATTTTCGCTGGCCAGGTTTAATTCAAATCCTACATACCTCCTATGGGGAAGGTTCTCAGGAATGGTGGAAGGAGAAAGAATTTGCCCATGTGAAGACCATCAGGTGGAAACTCTTACACATATGGTTCTGAAATGTAAACTACCGTATTTTTCGCTCTATAAGACGCACCAGACCACAAGACGCACCAAGTTTTTGGAGGAGGAAAACAAGAAAAAATATATTCTGTATCTCCGAAGCCAGAACAGCAAGAGGGATCGCTGTGCAGTGAAAGCAGTGATCCCTCTCGCTGTTCTGGCTTCTGGGATAGCTGCGCAGCCTGCATTCGCTCCATAAGATGCACACACATTTCCCCTTACTTTTTAGGAGGGGAAAAGTGAGTCTAATAGAGCAAAAAATACGGTATACGTTGATCTCTGCCAGCAGTTCCTAGATCAACTCTGTATCCCCAAATGGAAACCAGAGATAGAGGTCATACATTTTCTATTATTGGGGAATAATCAGGAGCTCACCAAGTTAGTGGCTAAATATCTTTATCGGGTTTTTTGTCATCGAAACACATTGCAGACGTGTGATCTCCCTGGAGACCTAGAGATGTAATGTTAGACTGCTTTGCCTCTTTCATTTGACAAATGTTTTGTGTCACTGGGAAGGTGGGAATTCCGTATTGATTTGCTATGGATGCGTGTATGTGATACCAATAAAAGGTTTGATGATGATGATTAAGGATACCAATAGGCTTCTGCAAGTCATACTTCCAAGGAAGTCTTTGAATCCAATAGCGGAAAGGAACAGTCTCAGATGTGCCAGAATAAATGTAAAAGGGATTCATTTAGCTAGCCCCAGTGCAGCTGTGTGCTCCTTTCTGTGAACACCTGCCACTGTTCATCCTTTCGTTCTTTTACCTGGTGTTGATCCACTGGTTCTGGGAAATTCCGGCTGGGTGCAGTTGGCATTGCAAAGACTTCCTTCCTCCTTAAATGAGATGAGAAGGAGAAGAAGAAAAACAGGTTAAGCAGAGCTTGGAGCCAAGTGGGGGCAGCTCTGGGGCAGCAGGCAAGAAAGTGGATGAAGTGCCAACAAGGGACAAGTCACAGAGGCCACAGACAAATCACCAGGGCTCATCGTGAACAGTCTCCGTCACCCACCATTGAGAGGAGGTGGGAGTGGAAGAGTTTGGATTTGATATCCTGCTCTATCACTACCCTAAGGAGCCTCAAAGTGGCTAACATTCTCCTTTTCCTTCTTCCCCCACAACAAAAACACTGTGAGGTGAGTGGTGCTGAGAGACTTCAGAGAAGTGTGACTAGCCCAAGGTCACCCAGCAGCTGCATGTGGAGGAGCGGAGACGTGAACCCGGTTCACCAGATTACAAGACTACCGCTCTTAACCACTACACCACACTAGCTCTACATAGAACTCTATGTCATATATGTAGTCAGAACTCTACATAGCAACCCCAATTACGTCCCCAGAACCGAGTAGCACATCCAGGGGGTCACCCGTCTTCTCCCCTTTAGGCGGCAGTTCCACAGATCTCTGCGGAGAAATCTTCTGTCCATCAATGCAAAATGTATACGCCACACTCTCCGACATCAGGATGGCACCCAATGTGGTATAAAACCACAAGAAAACAACGGAAAGCCAAAACAAGTGTTTTCTGAAAGCAGCCACGTTGCTGAAGCCGAGGGAGGGAAACCGACGGAGGAGAGGCGACACTGACGAGTGCCAGATTCTGCCATCAGCATGACAATGGAGGCATGGCCTCGCCCGTCCGTCATGGGGAATGGTATTCAGAGGAGTACCATCACCTGGCAATGGAGACACATCCCCTGGTCTTCCCAGAGATGGCAGCCATGCGGGAGGTGGAGCAGGAAGAAGGAAGTCCCTGTTTTCTGCCTCAGATGGTAAAGCAGGCTTTGGGTGCCATGTGCCTCAAGCTGGAAAACAGCTGCTTCTCTTCAGCTTAATCCAAGTGGCCAGAAAGAGCTAGATCACAAATCAGCCCATCGACACCCCACCCAAGAAGTCTTACCTCCCACTGCCGACATCTGGTTCGGAGCTCTGAAAGCCAAGCCGGTTCCCAAATCGCCTCTTGCCCAGGCTTCTCCAGCAGGCAGGGGTCAGAGAGTTTCAGGCGCTCGGCCAGCTGTGCGATTGGGAAGAAGCGAGGAGAGGAGCAGTTAGTTCAGAGGATCCAGAGTCCCTGCCCCAAACAGTCAGCAGAGGGCTCTTTAAGTTAGGTGGCAAAAAAGGATTTTTTAAAGGGGGGGGGACCAAGCAAGAGCTGTTAACTCTGCCTTCAAGACAAAAACTCTTCTTTTGATAATACCAAGGGGGAAATCCTGATCCTCTCAGCGCCGTTCTAGAAGGCCAGTTGTGGTTACTGGGAGCAGAAGAAGGGATGCTGGTGAGTGAAATCATTGGTCCATCTAACTTAGCCCAACCTATTGCTTTTTTGTAACACACTGCCATGGTGCTTAACTGCATTCCAGAAGGCTCCACTGCCTGTTCACCTGCCTTCTCCAAACATTCAAGCTGTGGGGGAAAATGTCAGTGCAGAAGCATCTTTCTCCACTGGCCTCTCCCCCCCCCTCGCCCCAATCTCAGCAGTTGTGTGGACTGGGCCAGAGAGAGAAAGTGTGTGTCACAGCTGCAACATCACTTGTGCATTGCCAAGAAGCTGGGCCCACAGAGAACATCATCCAACAGCCCCCAAAATCTGACATGGGAATTGGATCTGCCACCTGGTGACTCCACTACCTAACATCTCAGAATGTCCCAAATGGCACATTTTGTCACAAATTTTGCCCCACAGAACTCAAAAGCAGCCACGGAGAACCAAGACTCTCCTCCACAAGAGCTACGCTTGCTAAATTACTTCTCTAAATTGCAGCGCTTATCCCACCTGTGACAACTCTCTCCAAATTCAGCAATTATTAGCAGGTTATTCATGTCATTTGCTCCTCGCGAGAAACGTGTTTCTTGGAACATGTCGAGGTCCCTTCTCAAATTCCGGGGCTTTCAGCCATTCGTGTTAACGTATGTGCGAAACACAGATTAGGCAAATGCGATTATCATCAAATGAAACATTAGAAAGGAATTAACAGCTCAGCCTGTAACTAACTGAGCTACTTAAGCCCTGTGCCGCATTTGTAATTTGTGCTGTTTCTGATTTAGCCGTCTTTCCTTCCATTTATTCTGAATATTTATACAGCTGAATCCACTATGGAGGGCAAACAGAGGTTGTTTGCTACGGACTGACATAATTTCAGGTCTCCTCCTCAATCAGCTGCTGAACAAGTCCACGATGAGGCTGACTCCCAAGCAACACCCCTTCTTGGGATACAATTGTTTGACTTCTCAAAGCATGCTCATGTCACATCTGAGTCAGGTTGCTGGAGCATTTTCTGTGCGGGGCAGCCCTAGGGAAGTGTTTGGAAACATGGGCTGGTTCAAAACATGGCAACCAAGTCGTTAACAGGAACTGGCCATTGTGAGCATAAAGGCAAAGGTAAAGGGACCCCTGACCAGGGGGTCCAGTCGCGGCCGACTCTGGGGTTGCAGCGCTCATCTCGCTTTATTGGCTGAGGGAGCCAGCGTACAGCGTACATGTGGCCAGCATGACTAAGCCGCTTCTGGTGAACCAGAGCAGCGCACAGAAACGCCGTTTACCTTCCCGCTGGAGCGGTACCTATTTATCTACTTGCACTTTGACGTGCTTTCGAACTGCTAGGTTGGCAGGAGCAGGGACCGAGCAACGGGAGCTCACCGCGTCGCAGGGATTCGAACTGCCGACCTTTTGATCGGCAAGTCCTAGGCTCTGTGGTTTAACCCACAGCACCACCTGCGTCCCTTCATGTCCCTCTTGTGACATGAAGTTCATTGTGAGCATAGCACTCCTGTAATCAGATCCCTCCCCATAAACAGAGCTAAAGGAATCAGGCACGTAAACAGGTGTGTTCCAACAAAAGACACTTGTGTTCACATATATACAGTGGTACCTCGCAAGACGAATGCCTCGCAAGACAAAAAACTCGCTAGACGAAAGGGTTTTTTGTTTTTTGAGCTGCTTTGCAAGACGATTTTCCCTATGGGCTTGCTTCGCAAGACGGAAACGTCTTGCAAGTTTGTTTCCTTTTACTTAACACAGTTTCTTAATACAGTTGCGACTTGACTTCGAGGAGCAACTCATAGAACACGGTGTGGTAGCCTTTTTTGAGGTTTTTAAAGACTTTGGTGATTTTTGAAGCTTTTCCAAAACTTTCCCGACACCATGCTTCGCAAGACGAAAAAATCGCAAGACGACAAAACTCGTGGAACGAATTAATTTCGTCTTGCGAGGCACCACTGTACTGTATTAGTCTCAATATAGGGTGTGCTCTCCCACCCTTTAATCTGGCTTGCATAAAACCTGTGCAGCCTACAATTGTGCTCCTATAGACATAGAAACCGTTATTTAAGACGAGACCTTGGGAGCCATGTGGAATTTCAACATACTTTGGTAGTTTTTGTAATCGATGACCCACTCTTCTAGACAGCTGGCTCCAGTTGTCCAGGGATTTATTTATTTTGAGACAAGTAGCGCTGGATGGTGCCAGAGATTGACTATATACATAAAATTTCATTTCAAAGGGGTGCAGTCTATATTCAGGGGAGGTTTCTATTCAAAACCAATACTGTAGTAATTTAGGGGTTGGAATAACTGCTGGCATAAAACAGAAGCTCATCCAAGAGGCAGCCTTTGCTATGGTCTTCTGCCATTTACATGGCTTAAAAGGGAAGGTGAGAGAACAGTTGGACACAAAACCGTACCTTAAAAACATTAATAGTCAGAAACCAGGGGAGGCTGTGTCACACTTCAAAAGAAAACTCCACTGTGGAGGTAAATTTATACATGAATAAATCAATTCTAACACTATGGCACTTGGGCATGGGAAGGACGGGGCATGTCTTGATTTTATTGTTATTTACACTTTATACTGTATTTTATGCTGGGGTTTTTTGTGGGGTTTTTTGTAGCATCAATTAAGTGTTTTAAATTTGTTGTTAGCTGCCCTGAGCCCGATTTTCTGAACCGGGAAGGGCAGGGTATAAATAAAAATTTATTATTTATTGATTGATTGATGTCTAGCTCGCTGTGGAAAGAGTTTGTCCCTCTTCCATATGAGCATTCATCTTGCCAGCTTCATCACCAGTTTGGAATAAGGATCAAGCTCTCTTGCAGGTGTCAGCAAACTTTTTCAGCAGGGGGCCGGTCCACTGTCCCTCAGACCTTGTGGGGGGCCAGACTATATTTTGAAAAAATGAAGAATGAATTCCTATGCCCCACAAATAACCCAGAGATGCATTTTAAATAGAGGGCACATTCTTCTGATTCCTAAACCATCCACGGGCTGGATTGAGAAGGCGATTGGGCCGGATCCGGCCCCCAGGCCTTAGTTTGCCTACCCATGTGAGTCTCTTGTGACATGAAGTGCATGGCTTTTCCTCATAACCCAAAGCCCACCTTGATGACTTGCTCCAGGAGGACAGGGTACGTGTTCTGCTTCTGAGCAAGAAGCGCTGTTGCTGCCGCTTCGCAGTAATGCAAAGCCTGGGCAGGGAGGCCGCAGTCCACCAGGCGAGAGGCATAGACCAGCTTGTAAACCTGCAAAAGACAATTGGGGGGGTTTGCAGGGGGAGAGGAGGAATGAGATGCATTTGGGGGCACTCTGTTCAGGTTGCTGTGGGGAGCTGAGCCACTGAAAAGTAAGCAGATAACCCTCTTTCTGTTACGATATAGAAGCAATGCACCTGCAAGCTGCTGGTAGCTTGAAAGCAAAACATAATGGGAATGTTGGGACTGTTCCGTGGGAAACAGAGGGACAGTCTATTCACAGTGCGAAGCACCGGAATTAGCTCAGAGTGTAATATGAGCTGTACAGGAAGTACAGGAGGAGTTTTCTCTCTCGACTGTTGGGATTTGGAGAGAGCAGTCATGTTTTTTGTAACGCTGCAAAGACAGAAATAAAGGCATGTAAATACGTTTCTGTCTAGCTCTTTCCCCTGCCTGGGGGGGCAGGAAAGAGGGGTGTATCCTTCTCACGCTGAGGAGGATCGCCTATCGCGACCTCTGCCTGGATCTTGCTGGGGAAATGCAGACAGGGAGGTCAACAGGAGATCAAGCCGGGTGCCTGGGAGAGTTGCCAGTTTCTCCTGATAAAGGCTTGATTCCCGACACTTTCCACTCTTGCAGGAGAGCAGCAGTCCCGCAAAAGTGGCAGGGTTGATATTTGGGGCAGACCTCATCGAAACAGCTCATGCACCTGAAGGCCGGCTTACATGATGTTAAGTTCTTTTAAAGTGTTTACAGTTAAGTTAGCTGTAGCGTTACTGGCTAGGAGACAGCTGTGGAACAAGAAAGTCTTCTCTCTTAACCTGAAGATAGTGTTACGAGTTCAGGGTGGGAAGCAGAGGCCTGGGACCACTTCTAATTCATGGATCCGGCATGAATTCAATTCCTGGAATAGCCAGTCTAGCTTCCTGGTGAAGTAGTGGCCCTCTAAGTATGGGCCATTAAGGTAACAAAGGAAGTGGCTCTGTGTCAGATGTCAGGTGGTTAGGCCTTCCTCCCTCAACTCACTGGGAGTTAGAAAGCCAAAAGCCAGAGTTGAGAATTGAGTTCTGTGAGCTATAAGTTGGGAGCTGGCAGGCTGCAGGCTGGGAGACAGAGCTATGCCTTGGATTCTGTTGGAATCCAAGGCTGCAGCGATGGGGGAGGCAAGATCCACTTGGGATGCCAATGCTGTGCGCCCCTTCACTGGAGGCTCAGGGGGCTTATATGTGTAAACAAACCATATATCATAAAGACACCACAGTCTCTCCTGTGCCTTATTCCAAGGGAACCGAATCCTGAGTAAGCTCCTGGAATCTTGCAGGGCTTGGAGACTGGGCAACAATAGAAAGTCATATCCCTCTTAAAAACCTGTTTTGCACGTCACACTAAGCTAGAGGAAGGGGCTTCAGCTTGGGTGAAGTCTGGTCTAAGGACTTTGTCTATAAACACTCATTTACTAGCTCTTAGTAACTCCGCAAAATTTGCCAAGGCAAATTCACTTTATGGATTCGGTTTGCTTGATTCAGCTACCACAGAAGGCAGCTGCCGGGGGTGTGTGAGTGTGATATGGAGCAGACAAAATGGCCAGAGGTGAAGAATAAGCAGCCCCTCTCTCCCCATTCCCGACCCCAATCACTCATCCTCTGCTCAAGATTGCAGCTTCCACAGCGGCTTTTGATCTGCCGAAAATGTCAGGGGGAAATTATATGTGATTGAGCATCAAGCATCCTTGGGTCCTTTAAAATCCTGCCAAAGGCCAGGCAAAGAGGCTTGATTTCTCCTGCCCTTGCGATAGACAGGACTATTTTACTATTTTAATCATGCTTTTTAAAGGGCACTTCCACAAATGAGGCTTCGGCCTAGTAATGATGTATTGCGCTCATCCCACAAGCTGAATCAGGTACAAAGCTACAAAGCAACTCAGCTCTGTTCTTCAACGTTACTCCCCCAAACCCTGGCAGTTAGGGGAGGCAGGAATGGCGATTAACATTGACCCCACCCCCAATAACAGCTAACCCAGATAATAAGGGGTGGGGAGAAAGGAGGGAGCATAGCACCTGCTAAGTGGGATTTGCTTGATTCAGATTGTAATGGCCATTGTACAGGATGCTCATTCACATAACAAATGCCTCTCCCCTGCTTCACATTCCACATTAACAATGATCGCACACTGATAGCACAGGAAAAGCTCAAAGGTGTGAGAAGTGCAACTTTGGCCAAGTACAGATCAATATCCTAAACTGGCCTTACGTCAGGTTAGATCAGAGCTTTCCAAACTTCTCATGTCGGCGACACACTTTTTAAGACATGCATCATTTTGCGACACAGTAATTCCATTTTACAGTGGTACCTCAGGTTGAAGACGCTTCAGGTTACAGACTCCGCTAACCCAGAAATAGTACCTCGGGTTAAGAACTTTGCTTCAGGATGAGAACAGAAATCGTGCAGCGGCAGCGGGAGGCCCCATTAGCTAAAGTGGTGCTTCAGGTTAAGAACAGTTTCAGGTTAAGAACGGACCTCCGGGACGAATTAAGTTCGTAACCAGAGGTACCACTGTATTAGCAAACCGGAGGTTAAACTGACCCCTTTCCAGCCCCGGAGGGAGCGTTTGTGCGACACGCCTACACACTGCAGTCGACACACTAATGTGTTGTGGCACATAGTTTGGAAAGCTCTGGGCTAGATCAATAGCCCACACTTCTTATTGGCAGCAACCTGCCCAAAGACCCCTCCTGGTCCCTCCAAATGGAAGTTGCTGGGGACTGAACCAGGGGCTTTAAACATGGGGTGCAGGCGACCCCTATAGCCCATCCCCTAGGGGAAGCTTTGTTAACCCTGACAAGGCTCAAGACCTGAGAGCTCTTGTTTAAAAAGCATTTTACAGAGATGATCCATTAAACCTCAATGAGCTCCGGATGTTCTTAAATGACTGGTTGGACCCAGAGGGGATATGTTACCTGGAAAGAGGGAATGAAAGCCTGGGGGCTCCTCAGCAACTGGCAGTACTCAAAGATCTCTGTCCTGTGGATGCCCTCTGTCCTGGCAAACTGGGCAAAGGTCTGGCTGAAAGGAAGAAGCAGAGAGTCAGGGATGGAAAGCGAACAGCATTCTCTAAAGCAGCCTCTTAGATTCCGGTCTCCACATTTCCACGTCACTTTGTGGTGGGTTTTTTAAAAAAGCCCTCATGAAAATTCACCAGTATTTTAATGGGCATTTCTCTTAATGCACCCATTTTGGCAAAGTAATTTCCCCCATTTTGTATGTTATTTTCACTAATATACACATTTCTTACCCTAGCATACGCATTTTGTACACATTACTTGGCTGGAGAGCTGCACTACAAAATTCGGAAAACCACAAATTTCAAAGGATGGATGTGTTTCAGTTATGAAAAGCGCAAATCTAGGCAGATTTTTGTCTTTAAACGAGAACCAAAATGGATTTCTCCACCCATCCCTAACTCATTGAATCCAACAGGACTCATTTCTGAGTGGAAGGACGTGTGGATCCAGAACTGGCCTCCACAGTCACTTATGGACTCATTGTTAAAACCCATTTTCATGGAAGACAATCTTACCTGCCTACAAGTGATCACCAAAGGAGAGGAAGAGATATTTTCCTCCAAGTGGCTCTCACACACCCAGCTCAAGAGCTATCCTCCTCTCCAGCTGAACGCTAAGAGCTCCAACTCTCAACTCTCTTTTCTTTCTCCCTCCCAAAGCACTGACTTCACCCCCTACTCTGGCTATCGGTAAGGTAAAGGTAAAGGGACCCCTGACCATTAGGTCCCGTCGTGACCGACTCTGGGGTTGCGGCGCTCATCTCACTTTATTGGCCAAGGGAGCCGGCGTACAGCTTCTGGGTCATGCGGCCAGCATGACTAAGCCACTTCTGGCAAACCAGAGCAGCGCACGGAAACGCTGTTTACCTTCCCACCAGAGCGTTACCTATTTATCTACTTGCACTTTGATGTGCTTTCAAACTGCTAGGATGGCAGGAGCAGGGACCGAGCAACGGGAGCTCACCCCGTCGCAGGGATTCAAACCGCCGACCTTCCGATCAGCAAGCCATAGGCTCTGTGGTTTAACCCACAGCGCCACCCATGTCCCTTTCTGGCTAGCGGTACCTGCAACCAATCACAAGGAGGCTAAAGCTGAGCACTCTGGTGGATTGCCCAGGCACTGCATCACCCAACCTCTGATCCAGCGGAGCTTTTCATCACATGCCCCCATCCCTAACGCACTGAATCCAACAGGAGTCGTTTATGGCTGCACATTGATAGGGCTGCGCTGCAAGCCTTTCTTCCAATGCCTGGAGCTGGCAGCAGCCACTGAATTCATTTCAGTTCATTACTCACCCACCCATTAACTGGTTAATCAGTTAGGCTTAAACAAATCTGCAAATTACAGAAACTTCAGTAGATCAGCCCTTCGGATAAGTGAAAGGAAATGTCACACAACCTACACTTAATAAACCAAAGCTGGTTGCCATTGCTAGAATGAAATACAATTTTTAATTCCCGCCCACCCTCCATTACATTCCTAAGACGCAAGAACCAAAATAGCTTTATAAAAAATAAAAAAGCCTTTAAAAATAAACAAACGTTTCTGTGGCTTATAGTCCCACCAGTTTGCCCTTGCTAATTGGAGTTTGTCTGCACAACTCAGAGAATGTGTTTACACTTTTCTGTTCCCTGGTTCAGAAGCAGACGAAGCAGAAGGTACGGCTTCTCCTACAGACCACAGACCATGTCCTTATATGCTGCCCCTACTACTAAGATGCTCGTATAACGATTATTGCCCCCTTGCTAAGAATAATGCCCAGATGTTCTAGTTTGGAATTGTCCAGTTTTCTTCTAGAAGATGGAAAACCAGAGATTACAGCATTAGTCACAAAATTTTGCACGACAGCCTATAAAATACATCAGTCATTCTTATCTGCTGGATCTACATAGACTTTTTATCTCTCTCTTAAATTATTAACTTTTCAATTTTGCTTACAGTGGTGCCCCGCAAGACGAATGCCTCGCAAGACGGAAAACCCGCTAGACGAAAGGGTTTTCTGTTTTGGAGGTGCTTCGCAAAACGAATTTCCTATGGGCTTGCTTCGCAAGACGAAAATGTCTTGCGAGTTCCTGCAGGGTTTTTTTCCTCCCCCCCCCCTTTTTCCCAAGCCGCTAAGCCGCTTATCAGCTGATCCGCTAAGCCGCTAAGCCGCTTAACAGCTGATCCGCTAAGCCGCTAAGCCGCTTATCAACTGATCCGCTAAGCCCGCTAAGCCGCTAATAGCGCTAAGCCGCTAAGCCGCTAATGGGCTTGCTTCGCAAGGCGAAAAAACCGCAAGACGAAGAGAATCGCGGTACGGATTCTTTTCGTCTTGCGAGGCACCACTGTACTTACTATTTTATTTATTTTATCCGTGTTAGTAATTGTTGTATGAAATAGAGTCCACAAGCACATTCCAGGCAGAGGGCCTTCTCGGTAGTGGCCACCACCCTGTGGAACGGCCTCCTATCAGATGTCAAGGAAATAAACAACTATCTGACTTTTAGGAAACATCTGAAGGCAGCGCTGTTTAGGGAAGTTTTTAATGTATGACGGTTTATCGTGTTTTTAAGATTTTGTTGGGAGCCTCCCAGAATGCCTGGGGAGGCCCAGCCAGATGGGTGGGGTATAAGTAATAAAATATTATAACAACAATTTGAGAACCTCATCATCAGTCCATCAACTAAAGCCCTGGTTGACAAATCTATTAATTAAACCAATTTTAAAAACCACCTAGCCCTAGTAAATGCAGAGTTAGCAGGGAGAAGAATCCTTGCCACTTTCTTCCTTCTCTAATCAGACGGGCATTTCCTTTTTCTAATTCTAAGCTAGGAGGTTTCACTGTCTTAAGGCACCACACCACTCAGCTAAAACTGGCTGCTTCTTTCTGTTGTTGTGCAAAATACCAAAAAGGGTGTGTTAATGCTTCAAGCCAGATGCTTGGAAAGAAGTCTCCCATTCCTCATGGTATCATAGAATCGTAAGGTAAAGGTAAAGGGACCCCTGACCATTAGGTCCAGTCGTGACCGACTCTGGGGTTGCAGCGCTCATCTCGCTTTATTGGCCGAGGGAGCCAGCGTACAGCTTCCGGGTCATGTGGCCAGCCTGACTAAGCCGCTTCTGGCGAACCAGAGCAGCGCACAGAAACACCATTTACCCTCCCACCGGAGCGGCACCTATTTATCTACTTGCACTTTGATGTGCTTTCGAACTGCTAGGTTGGCAGGAGCAGGGACCGAGCAACGGGAGCTCACCCCATCGCAGGGATTCGAACCGCCGACCTTCCGATCGGCAAGTCCTAGGCTTTGTGGTTTAACCCACAGCGCCACCCGCGTCCCCATAGAATCGTAGAACTGTAGAATTAGAAGGGATCCCAAGGGTTATCTAGTCCATCCCGTGCAATGCAAGAATCTCAAGGTAATGCAGTCCCTCATCCAGTTTGAACCCGTACACATAGCACGCTTGGCTTTGCATATTTTCTTTCAGTTTTGTTGCTGAACCTGTTGCAGTTTGTTTCATTCTTCCTCACTCAGCTAAAGAAGGTGTGTTGCAACTAGAGGCGTATTCTTTCAAACTTTGAACTGTGTAAGCCATCCTGGAGTCAGAGATAATTTAGGGCAGTATCTGAATGCTTTCAATAAATTAAACAATGGCTTTCCCTTCTCCAGTGCTTGTTGTTGTTGTTTAGTCGTTTAGTCATGACCAGAGCACACCAGGCACTCCTGTCTTCCACTGCCTCCCGCAGTTTGTTCAAACTCATGCTGGTAGCTTCGAGAACACTGTCCCACCACCTCGTCCTCTGTCGTCCCCTTCTCCTTGTGCCCTCCATCTTTCCCAACATCAGGGTCTTTTCCAGGGAGTCTTCTCTTCTCATGAGGTGGCCAAAGTCTTGGAGCCTCAGCTTCAGGATCTGTCCTTCCAGTGAGCACTCAGGGCTGATTTCCTTCAGAATGGAGAGGTTTGATCTTCTTGCAGTCCATGGGACTCTCAAGAGTCTCCTCCAGCACCAGAATTCAAAATCTCCAGTGCTATGCTGGTTAAATCCTTCCTTCCTCCCTCCCTTCAGTGCCTGCTGAACCAAGCCAGACTTGGCTTCTCTGCTACAATAGAGCTTGCTTGGAGAAAAAAAGGAATGAAGACCAAGGGAGAGGGGAGGCTGGGATAATAAAGAACCTTGTTTTCTCCCTTTGAGCTCCCCATCACTGATAGCATTCAGAGTTTATATGCGTCGGCGAAAGTCTGAACTTTGCACTGAAATCCCTTGGAGGAACACGCTTACCTTGGAAGCAATTACACGGAGGCCTTTAGTATGGAAAATAAGAAAGCTAAGTTTATCATAGCAAATATGTGTTTGATGGTAAAGAGCTCCTAGTTTTATTTAACTATGTTGGAAAGGCAAGAAAGAGGCGCGCTGATCTCAGCGGAGACACACAAAATGCCTCCTCTCCCGTGGTGGGTCAAATAAGAAAGGAGGAAGAACAGGAAATGAGAGCAGCAACTCAGCATGGTATCAGTTTAACACCAGAAGGAAGCTCAACACGGCAGTCTAGGACGTCTGGAGGTCCCCTCTCTACATTCCCCCCTCTCTACAAACTTCATTCGCCTTAATACAAGCTGAGCTGTATCCCAACCCTTCCAACTAAGAACACATTGACTGCACAGCAGAAACTTTTTACAGTTTTCCCAGAACTATGAGACATTTGTTCAACAGTCTCCACGGTTCCAATTCAAATGTTCTAGATTCAGGTAGGTAGCCGTGTTGGTCTGACGCAGTTGTTGTTGTTGTTTAGTCGTGTCAACTCATCGTGACCCCATAGACCAGAGAACGCCAGGCTCTGGTCTGACGCAGTAGAAATATATATAAATAAATAAATAAATTGTCCAGTGACACTTTGTTGTTGTTGTTTAGTCGTTTAGTCATGTCTGACTCTTCGTGACCCCATGGACCAGAGCATGCCAGGCACTCCTGTCTCCCACTGCCTCCCGCAGTTTGGTCAGACTCATGTTTGTGGCTTCGAGAACACTGTCCAACCACCTCGTCCTCTGTCGTCCCCTTCTCCTTGTGCCCTCCATCTTTCCCAACATCAGGGTCTTTTCCAGTCCATGGGTCTCTCAAGAGTCTCCTCCAGCACCATAATTCAAAAGCATCAATTCTTTGGCGATCAGCCTTCTTTATGGTTCAGCTCTCACCTCCATACATCACTACTGGGAAAACCATGGCTTTAACTATGCGGACCTTTGTTGGCAAGGTGACGTCTCTACTTTTTAAGATGCTGTCTAGGTTTGTCATTGCTTTTCTCCCAAGAAGCAGGCATCTTTTAATTTCATGACTGCTGTCACCATCTGCAGTGATCATGGAGCCCAAGAAAGTAAAATCTCTCACATTTCTTCCCCTTCTATTTCTTCCCCTTCTATTTCTTCCCCTTCCATTTCTTCTCCTTCCATTTCTTCCCCTTCTATTTGCCAGGAGGTGATGGGACCAGTGGCCATAATCTTCGTTTTTTTGATGTTGAGCTTCAGACCATATTTTGCGCTCTCCTCTTTCACCCTCATCAAAAGGTTCTTTAATTCCTCCTCACTTTCTGCCATCAAGGTAGAGACCAACTAAGTTTGTTCTTGCACACTTTCAGTGTATCTGAAGAAGTGTGCATGCACACGAAAACTCATACCAAGAACAAACTTAGTTGGTCTCTAAGGTGCCACTGGACAATTTTTTTATATATATACATATTTCTACTTCAAATGTGGTAGCGCTAACTGACAGACGTTCGTGTGGGTTTGAAATATACACCAAGATTATTTCTCTCCTCATACTTCTCTCTCACACCTCGAGCTGAGAGGTCAGCTTGGAGCTACTCTCTGAGAGAATGCAAAAATAATAATTTATTATTTATACCCCAAGCAAGTGCGGCTGCCTTGTTCTGCTCCAGACTAGTTAGTTAAACTACAACTAGAAACTTTTCCATCCAAGTTATGTATTTCCCATGTTAAGCAGCTAACCTACAAGCAAAGGGTTGCCATAGGTAGCTGAACCAGTTAATCCCAGTACAAAGCACAGCATGGGACGTGGGGGGTGCCGCAACAGCTGGGCGGCTGCTGGATCCCCCCTGGCAACAGAAGTTGAGGCTCAGCTTTGAGGTGGCAGAAAGTCCAATTAGATTTCCTTTTAGAGAACTGTTGTGTCCCCCTTGCCCAAATGCCCTGATTCTGAAGGAGCTACATTCAACAGCACCAAAGTTGTCACTTACATGTGTTGCTTGAAGACGCAAGGCTTGTTTAGACCTGTAATTCTAATAAGGAGCGAATGGTTTAAAGGTGAAATGAATCGTTAAAATCCTTTCCTTTTTATCTAGCCAGAGCACCATTAGCATAAGTGGAGCTGTTGGCTCTTTAAATTGGATTTTTAACCTTAGCGGAGCCTCTTAAGGTGAATGACTAAATCGTTTGCAGCCGGCGTGTCTCACCTTACAAGAAGATGACTTCTTGGCGCACTTTAGAAGATGCAGAAAACCCAAACCTCTGGCTGTCTCACTGGTCGTGGAAGCACTTGTACAGAGAATCATAGGGTTGCAGAGTGGCAGCTGGCATGTGGCAGAAGCCAGTACTGGACTGTGACTTGTGTCTCACTCAACAAATACAAGATTTGACAGGTGAGTGCAATAATGTCAGCGCTATCGTGCATACACCAGTTTCACAATATCAGAAACAGGGCACAAAATAGCAATGAAGGTTAAATTGCCAAATGTTGAGTTCAGATTTGGTGAGGGGGTGGTACTGAATTGAAGCATATTGCAAAATTTCATTTTGGTTCTACTCTGACTCCAGCGAGAGTAACTTTGGTCCGGCTGTGGAATGTTGGTGGCAAGGAGACCACCGGCATCTCAAGATTTGCTGGTTGGCTACTGAAGTGCCATCTCTCAGCTTCGGAAGAAGCTAAATGCTGTAAATCTAGTTTCCCGTCCAAGAATCCTAAATACTGCACAGCGGGCAAAGTGAGCTTTAGTTCATCCCGTAACTTAAGATTAGTTTAGAGCTACAGTGACCTCGTGTGGCCAGGTTGTGGCATTACACTCCACGCCCACAGCTGGTATTTCCACAATACGTGTCAAGCCCATATATCTGGCTATCGATGGAAATGTCGCATTAGGCCTTGGGGCAGGAACTCGGAAAATAATGAATAGGTGTAGGTTTGCACAGGCATAGTGCTGTAATTATACATGCATAGCCCTAGCCCTCCCGCTCAACCCTATCAGAAAGATTTCTTTTCTTTTTTCTTTTCTTTTTATAAAAAAAGGATTGCTAGAGCCAGTTCCTACATCCCTTCTACAGTCATACCTCATGTTACGTTTGCTTCATGATACATTTTTTCAGGTTGCGTCCCGCAGCGACCCGGAAGTACCGGAAAGCATTACTTCTGGGTTTCACCACTCGCGCATGTGCAGAAGCGCTAAATCATGCTTCGTACATGCGCACAAGCGCCAAATCGCACCACGAACCTGCGCAGATGCGGCGCTTCAGGTTGCAGGCTTTTCATGTTGCGAGCGGGCCTCCGGAACGGATCCCGTTCGCAACCAGAGGTACCACTGTATTACCCTATCAGTTGCCACCATGCAGTAAAAATCAGTTATCCTGTCAGAAGAGCATAGCGGATGATGCCTCCACAAGCAGCAGTTCGTCTTATGCACTACCCAGCATGACATTGCACATCAAGGGACACAAGGCAAAGGCGCAAGAGTAGGCCAAGCAAAGTCCTTCTGCCTCACCAGTCTGCACCCCTTGCCCTAAGCCATTCTCACCTCACAGCCATGCCCTCGCTGGAAGGGCTTAAGGACACACCTGCTCTCCCGTTTATGAACCCCCGGCCTGCAATAGAGGAGGAAATTTGGCTGGCTTCAGAGCAGCATTGTAATGCTGAGCTAATGTGCCGTTTTGAATGCTTGCAGTGAGCTACAGAAACGCCAAGCGCTGCTAATTAAGTTGGACCTTTCCGTTCTCACTCACCTCTGGCTACTGCCCAGCAACACCATGCGGTCTGTTTTGACTCCATAGTGGCCGAAGGGGACGTCTGCCACCAGGTAGCAGAGGTGAGCAGCTTCTGTTAATCCCTTTCCAGCTGGATAGGTAAAAAGAGGAGCATATTGCATCATGGAAGGATAAGAAGAGATTAAAAGTTAAAGGTAAAGGACGACTCTGGGGTTGCGGCGCTCATCTCGCTTTATTGGCTGAGGGAGCCAGTGTACGGCTTCCGGGTCATGTGGCCTGCATGACTAAGCCGCTTCTGGGAGCACTAGAGCAGCGCACGGAAACGCCGATTACCTTCCCACCGGAGTGGTACCTATTTATCTACTTGAACTTTGACGTGCTTTCGAACTGCTAGGTTGGCAGGAGCAGAGACCGAGCAACGGGAGCTCACCCCATCATGGGGATTCGAACCGCCAACCTTCTGATCAGCAAGTCCTAGGCTCTGTGGTTTAACCCACAGCACCACCCGTGTCCCCTAAGAAGACATTACGATATGCATTATGCCATAAGTGCTGTAGCCTACCCCTGCTGTGATACAGGAAATACGGGGTTTTGTTTTTGAAAAGGGTTTTCCCTCCCTTACATCTCTAACACTGATAAAACACGAGCACAACACCCAGTTCGCAAACTCCATAGTGAAATTCAGCGTTCAAATCCACAGTGGGAAGGAGGACCCAATGTGGCTATTGCTAAATATTGCCCAAGGTGACCTTAGCAGTCCTGAGTCAGTGTCTCCAATCAGCCCAATAATGGAGCTGAGAGACCAGTGGTCTCCTGGTATAACCCTCCTAGCGAGTGTTGTCGGCTTTCATCATTGAGCCTGCATAGCCCGTTTTGCTGCGTAAGTTTTTCCAATAACGCTAATTGCCACACCAGCCCTACAAAGGTACCAGATTTTATATAAATGAACAATAGAGGGAGAAATGGCCTCGGTCCAGTATACGTGAAGGAGCATCTCCACCCCCACAGTTCTGCCCAGACACTGAGGTCCAGCTCCGAGGGCCTTCTTGGCGGTTCCCTCACGGAGAGAAGTGAGGTTACAGGGAACCAGGCAGAGGGCCTTCTCGGTGGTGGTGCCTGCCCTGTGGAACGCCCTCCCACCAGATGTCAAAGAGATAAACAAGTCCCTGACATTTAGAAGACATCTGAAGGCAGGGAAGTTTTTAATGTGTGACATTTTAATGTGTTTTTAATCTTTGTTGGAAGCCACCCAGAGTGGCTGGGGAACCCCAGCCAGATGGGCGGGGTACAAATAATAAATTATTAGTATTAGTATTCTAAATGGAGGGAGAACATGGGGTAGGTGGGATCCCATGGAAAGAACGGTGCTAGTATCCAAAGTTAGGCCTGTGCCCTGTCCCTGTGGTTCTTCCCTAGTGGGCCCCACCCCTTCCTCACGATTCCTCCGTTCCTATGAAGCTGGAGCGGTGTGGGAAGCAGCCACGCTGCTCTCATGGCTTAAGAACTGGAATTGTGGGCCCTTGGTGGGTCTCCTCACCCAGCGTCTCTCCCATGGTGACAATGGCTCTGGAGTTCAGATCTGCCTCCCCCACTCGGTTGGACAGGATAGCAGCCAGATGTGGCCTCCAGTCGCCCCATTTCTCATCGGCGCAGCACTGCATTCGAAGAGGGGAGGGAGGAAAAGGGGAGGGAGGAATCAGGGCGCAAAATACATGAAACATTAAAATGCATTAAACTTTGCTCAACGTTTAAGAAACAGAAGAGATGTTTCCACATGAGATTGCCTTTCAGGAGATTTGCCTCGCTTCAGTTCACAAGTTCAGCAGAGAATGGAAAAGAAAGGAAATGCTTGAGTCCTGGAGCAAATCCAAGGCTTTTGTCCTTAGGAGAATATTGTAGCTATAAACATATATGCCAACGCTGCTGCCTCCATGCTAGCATCCAACAGATGAAGGACTTTGTGCAACGCCGTCAGCATCTGGTGCCGCTGTGGAACTTTCCTTTGCAGGACAGGCCCTGCCATGAGACAGGTGGGAGAACCTGCCTAGGGCAGACGCTTCAGAACGCTGTCAAGAACAGCTGGATCTTCCCCTTAGACTCTGCAGCAAAGGCTAATCATGCAGTGGAGCCAGTGCATGACAGCGCCACCCCTGCCCCCGGGAGCTCAGGAGTAATGCAGCAAAAAGGAGGCATTGCCAGAACAAAACCCAACCACTTGCCCCACTGCCTATTCCACATGGACCTATGCCTAAGCAAGAGAACCAGGAAGGGATGGCAAAATGTCATCCATTACATTACGTTACATTGCATTACATTACGCTGCTCTCTGTGCCTAAGCAATCAAGCGGCAGCTACAAAAAGTTGAATCAGGGTTTCACCTTGGGACAGGGCACCCTGGCTCTTAGGATAAGGTTCTTGGGCTTACCTGCCCGGTTTGTCCCTATCTCAACCACCAGGGCTTTTGTGGATCCAAAAGGAACTTTTGTGGAACCACCAGGGCTTTTGTCCCTGTCATGGGAGAGGCAACAAAGCCCAGCCAACACTGTGCTGTGCTTTCCTTTCCCCTGGTTCCAGCGGAAAGGAAGACGGCGGTGTCTACAGGCAGAATGCTGCACCGATCAGGGCGCCCTCCCACGGATGCTGGAGCTTGGACTGGCAACTTCTGGGGCTGGGCCATGAGACTGTGCGCATGCAGGCGAGGAACCCCTCCTCAGGCACAGAAGGGGGCTGCAAGTGCAGCATCAGATTGTAGGACTGGCGGGCAAAACAAAGCTGCTTCATTAGTCAGGATTTTTCTAACACGCAGAAAAGCCTGCCCTTCTGCACTTGCCTGGTCAACAAAGCAGAGCCTGCTGCTGTGTACTTGCTCAAGTACCTAGTCCCAGGAATTGGTTGCAGGGTCCTACACCTGGAAAATGCCAACCTGATTCCTAACCTGGGCTGGAAGAAGCTGGGAAATTGTGGCCGTAGCTCCGCCTCGATGCTGTTGATTGGCTGACCTACAGAACAGCATTTTACAGCTGATGGTTTTGCATAAATGATATTCTTAAATGCTCAAAGAGCTTTGGCCAGGACGCAAACTATAAGCAATAAGCAAACAATCCCCCTTGTATGAATGCCAGGTTTTGGCACATGAGGTGAATTAAATTTGCCCATTGAGCTCTTCCATGCCCTTCCTCTTCTCTTCACAGCATAACAGAACATCACATTCTGACTCACCCTTAGGACACCTGCATTTTAACAGTTTGTTTGGATGGATGGATGGATGAAATCTATGAAATCAGCTAGATTCCATCTATCCAAACAGCTAAAATGCAGGTTTCCTAAGGGTGAATGGTGGGAGGCTGGTGTTCATACGCTATAAGAGCAGCCTTTTGCGCCAGCAGAGTCTTGTGGACACTTAACTGAATGGCATATGGGCAACAATAACAGCGCCTAACTATGGAATTAAAGCACCTTCAGGTGGCAGCCTTTGCTTTTGAGAGGCAGCAGGAGGGGCAAAGCAGAGGAGCACACAGGAGGGGAAAGAAAAAAAACCTGGCCAATAATTTGTCTAGAATAAGCCTCCTTAGGGATGGAGTGGGTCTTCACCCAGAGCTGACACTGGGCTCTGCAGAGTGCCAGGGGGGTCTCAAAGCAGCGACCCTCGCAAACAGGAACAAGCAACACACAGCGCCTTGGAAGCCACCCAGAACTGCTGTCCTGGTCTCTGCTTTGCTAGAGTGCTACTACTGTAGGTACTTAGCTACCAGTTCAGCAAAGATCTGGTGACAAGGGGTCAAAGAGGTTTCCACCTGGTCCTATCAAGCTGCTGTCTGGGGCTTGGCTCCTTAGTCTAAACTGCCCTGGGGTTGTGTATCCCGGACTACCAGCCCTGACAGGTTCAGGTGGCTGATCCTAGATGCAGACAAGATACTTAGGCAGAAAAGGCGGCAGACATCAGTACCAGGGATGCCTGAGGTATCCTTCCAGACATGAGCTGGAAAAGCGTTTGTAGGGGGTCATTGAAGGCCAGAGTGCTAGTGAACCTGCAACGAGATGGAAGAAAGCATTTTTAATAGACTTGGCAAGCGATGAAATGCTTGGCTGGTCTAAGACATTCTGTTGCCTAAATTGACGGACAAGGTGGTGCCCTCATTCATACACACACACACACACACACACACACAGAAGTTGACTGACAGTTGAACTTCTGCATTGCTTTTCCACCACACCCGAGGACAACAGCTAGCTTACAAGATGCAGAGAAGGCCTCATTGCGCACAAAGCTCTCTCCTCCAACATGACCCAACAGTTTTCTGCACACACCAGAAAACTTGCTGCCTCATTCTGCCTAATGTTAGGGCCGGCCCTGCTGAAATCCAGAGAAAAGTGCACTGAGAGATTTTGTGGTAGTGGGTGCTACATACCCACTCACGACCCAGCTATAGGTCCTCGGGTCCATCTTGCTTGATAGAAAGAGAGCGTGGCCCCACAGATGGTTTCTCATGGCCCAATCCAGAGCTTCCTGCAAGAACCAATAAACAGCCAGCTCTCGACATTCCATCAAACTCCCCTGTATTCTGCCACACTCCAGCATTGCTAAGAAACAGAAGCCAGTAGAAGGGACTGTGCAGAGAAGGGCTGGCTTAGTGGTCAGAGGCCACCAGTGAGTTCCACAGACAAGACATTGGTCGACCTGAGGCAGGGGCATCAATGAGGGACAGAAAGTGCAAGAGAAGCACTGGGAAGAGACTGGAATGCTCTATGTCCACTCCTTCATATGAAATTATGATGCTGGCATACATGGCTCCCTCTTCCTCGCCAAGATGCTAATGTGAATGCCAATGAACAGGTACCCACATGCATTTCTGGATTTTAATTTTTCAAGGGACAGGTATACATTTAACCTTTCTCTCCAGATGGCACCTATAAATTTATTTGAAAATGGAGATGTACCTTCTCATTGTAGAGAGCTAGTGTCACATCTGCTAAAAGCAGCCAGGCCTGTTATTACCAGACACTGGAAAGACTTAGAATCATAGAATCATAGAGTTGGAAGAGACCACAAGGGCCATCGAGTCCAACCCCCTGCCAAGCAGGAAACACCATCAGAGCACTCCTGACATATGGCTGTCAAGCCTCTGCTTAAAGACCTCCAAAGAAGGAGACTCCACCACACTCCTTGGCAGCAAATTCCACTGTCGAACAGCTCTTACTGTCAGGAAGTTCTTCCTAATGTTTAGGTGGAATCTTCTTTATTGTAGTTTGGACTTAGTTGGGGCTAACCTTTTACCATGCTTCAACAAAGTGTGGGAGATAGCCTTACTGGAAAATCTTACACACCAATTAAGAGTGGCAAGAGGGCAAAGCAAAACAGAAATTATTTGTGATGTGGTACCATTTTATTATGTTAAAAATGATTCACACAACTTAAATCCACATCCAGCACCCAAAAGACTATGGATGATTCAATAAAATATATTTGACAATCCTGTATCTGCCCCCTCCCCTCTCTGTTTCTATTTCCTATGTACACCAATATGTCTATTCAACATACAATGCTTTAATCTTCTCTTTATAAGAACTGTACCATGTGCTTTCACCAGTGCCCTTTGGGGTTTTTTCTGTATTTAATAACTTTTTGCTTTATTATTTCTGTATTGCATAATTTTAAACAGATGGTCTTTTATAGATGTAAAAACCTAAGTGCTTCTTAAAATTTAACAAAAGAGTTATTTACAAAACAAACTAACAAATTATGAAGATGCCGTTGGGCGTCAGACCATTGGATTGTCTGCCTTGACTGGCAGCGGCTGGCCGAGGTCACAAGCAATGGTTTTTCCAAGCTCTGCTACCTCAAATCCTTTGTAAGAGAACATGGGGCATTCTTTACACAAAGCACAACCAAGTTAACAGTTTTTACATAGTGCTGTAAGGGAGGCCACCACTCAAAGTAACAGGCATGCACTGATTTTTGCTGGTGTGAATGTTGCTGTAGCAGAAGTGGCTTCTGTCCTGCAGAGATTAATTTGTGACGGCTCAGACACAGGAGAAATCATTTGATGCAGCTGGGATGTGTGTACGTGTACGATCCAGGCCGTTTTCTGTGCATTAAACCCACAAAACTTGCCACAGAAGACATAAGCTTTCATTCAGCTTACCTTTTTCCTGCCGTAAAAGAGGAGTTTGGTGAACTTCTCCACTCTTTGCTCTGGTGTGGCGGCACTTGGGACAATCTCCCCCGTGAGGAGGTCTGGAGTCCCACAGCCCTGCACTGGCCACTCCTCATCTGTCAGGTTGATCAAGTTGGCTGCTGGCTCTTGCCTTTTGTACCTTTCCCGGCGTCGGCTGTCCTGCATCAGCAGCTCAGCTGTATCTGAGCCCACCATGGACTGCAAAGGGACGAGGAGAAAGCACAGCGGCTACAGGATTCAGACGTAATTGCAAACATTGCAAATTTTACAAATTTACCTAGTTGGACAACAAACAGCTCAAACTCCTGAAACTTGCGTACTGACACGACACAAATTCTCAAATTGCTATGCGTTCTTTTCTTAACAGCTTGCATCTTTAATTAATTTTATTTGCATAACGCTTTATGGGTCTTGACCGGTGAAAAGCAGGATAGATTGTTAAATAGACATGCATATTGCAAGGTGCCAATTATGTCAAACCCTCTCCTTAAAAAATGGAAATAAAGGTGACATTTTAACACCTCTGACATTTTGAATATAAAACGTAGGATCGACAGTTTCAAGTTCATGCTGCACATGATTCAAATTTATTTCAGGTTTTACCGGAAAAGGCCAAAAGGTCTGCCTGGTATTAGACACAGACCTCAAAGCTGAAGACTTGAGAAGGAAGAACAAATGCCATGCCCTTTCTTCTAGGGTTTTTGGGGAAATAAGGGTAACGTAAGGACACCAGACATTAGGGACGCGGGTGGCGCTGTGGGTAAAACCTCAGCGCCTAGGACTTGTCGATCGTCAGGTCGGCGGTTCAAATCCCCGTGGCAGGGTGCGCTCCCGCTGCTCGGTCCCAGCGCCTGCCAACCTAGCAGTTCGAAAGCACGTCAAAGTGCAAGTAGATAAATAGGGACCGCTTACTAGCGGGAAGGTAAACGGCGTTTCCGTGTGCGGCTCTGGCTCGCCAGATGCAGCTTGTCACGCTGGCCACATGACCCAGAAGTGTCTGCGGACAGCGCTGGCTCCCGGCCTCTTAAGTGAGATGGGTGCACAACCCTAGAGTCTGGCAAGACTGGCCCGTACGGGCAGGGGTACCTTTAAGGACACCAGACATTGAGAAATCCTCCCAAAATCGATGGAAACCTGCACTCACTTCCCAGAGGTCTGGGTCCACACTGCACATACAGACTCCAAAACCAAGGAAGACATCAGATATCAGTTGCAAAAGTGATTGGGGAGGGATAAAGGTGAAATCTAGGGCAGAGGAAGTGGGTGAAAACTTGCACCCCAAGGGGGTATGCTAGCCAGGCTCTCTAACTTATCTCTGCAAAGATTTGCCCCATAGGAGATACACACCCCGTTCTGCCGGCAAAGGAGGAGGAGAAGTTTCCAAAGCAAGGCAGAATCTCTGCTTCGGCTGGAGTCCAGGTCACAGGCCACAGCTGCTCTGCGCTGACAAAACGTCATCACATCCACCTTGTGCAGATCCTCCCTGGAAGAGAAGAAAGGGGCGCAAGGACTTTCAGATCCATAGGTGGCCCAGATCTTGTGTAGGTTTGGAGGTTTGGAGGGCTGCGGAGGACAAGATTCCCCATTCCTGCTGTATAACATTTCCAAAGGCTTCGATGTGACCCCTCCAAACTGAACGCACTCACACACTCTTGTTGAAGCAAGTATCATCCCGCAACTCTCCAGGGCCTTTCCCCCATCACTTTCCTTACTGCAAAAAGTCCAATTCTGCAAGGAAGTTGGCTTACTGCGCAAGACCTCCCAATCAACTATAACTGTGCAACCTGAATGTGTAGCTACACGACTGAATCCGTCCTGAAATCAGTGACTGGGCACTCTTCTTGACAACTCAGCAATCAATGCAATAATTTGAATGCATAAGCAAACCCTCTGGCTTTTGCCCAGGTGCTGGTGTGAGGAGAATCAAATAATAACGACAGTTTAAGAGAGCATTCACCATGACAACTACTTGGGGGAGGGGGAGAACTTTTATTTCCACCCTCCCTCACCCTCAACTTTTTATTCTAATCTCATATAATTAGAGCACTGTGACCAGTACGACATGTTAAAATAGCCTCCTGCAGCCCAAATGGCAGAAATGAAATACTTTCTTCAGGCTACTCTAGTGCCAATCCAACCAGCACCCTTCCTCTGATTGACAAAGAACACAATTCACTGGGCAGTTTTTCTGTCACAAGAAAACAAAGAAGAGCCGCAAAGGAGGAGTTGTGCGCTCTTGAACAGCTCCTATTCATTTCAGTGGGGCTTGCACAGCTGAACACCCTGGTACACAGCGCCCCATGAGTCAGATCCCCTGACTCCCATTTTGCTACCCATCAATAACATCCAGAGCCTGTTGCCTGGGACGTCTCAGCTTGCTTCAGAGTAGGGCTGCCTCAGGGCTACGGTGGAGAATGAAAACTTAAGTTGTACTCTTCCAGAGGTCATGTACCTGATCAGAGGTCCTGGGAAGGCTCTCAAGGCTTCCTGCTCAGCTGTGTCATGTAGGATCACCTGGAAAACAAGGAAAGAGTCAGTGAGTGGGATTCGGATAATTGCCTGCACTCACTGTAGCTAAAGTGGTTGTAGAAAGTATGCTATGTTGTGCTTGTTTTAGTCATCTAGGGTTGCGTAAGCTCTTTGAACATCTTCCTGCCCTTGTCTCTCTTCCTGGGGCACACAATCAGGCAACTGCAAATTTGCTTGTGCAGCTTTCTGGTTTTATGCATATCTGAGGGATCAGAAGTGTGTGTGTGTGTGTGTGTGTGTGTGCGCAAGCTGCCATTGGCTTGTGAAGTTTTCTGGGTTCGTGCTAATCTGAGGGATCAAAAGGAAAAATATATATTCTTCCATTCAGAAGCACACAGGAAATACAGTGGTACCTCAGGTTACATACGCTTCAGGTTACATACGCTTCAGGTTACAGACTCCGCTAACCCATAAATAGTGCTTCAGATTAAGAACTTTGCTTCAGGGTGAGAACAGAAATCATGCTCCGGCGGCGTGGCGGCAGCAGGAGGCCCCATTAGCTAAAGTGGTGCTTCAGGTTAAGAACAGTTTCAGATTAAGTACGGACCTCCGGAATGAATTATCGTATTTTTTGCTCTATAAGACTCACTTTTTCCCTCCTAAAAAGTAAGGGGAAATGTGTGTGCGTCTTATGGAGCGAATGCAGGCTGCGCAGCTATCCCAGAAGCCAGAACAGCAAGAGGGATTGCTGCTTTCACTGCGCAGCGATCCCTCTTGCTGTTCTGGCTTCTGAGATTCAGAATATTATTTTTTCTTGTTTTCCTCCTCCAAAAACTAGGTGCGTCTTGTGGTCTGGTGCGTGAAAAATACGGTAAGTACTTAACCCGAGGTAGCACTGTAGTTACAAGCACAGCCTGTATTTTAATACTTTGTTGGAAGCCGCCCAGAGTGGCTGGGGAAACCCAGCCACATGGGTGGGGTATAAATAATAAATTATTATTATTATTATTATAAGAAATGAAAAAAAGAAGTAGTAGGCCTGAAAAGAGGAGTACCAGAAAGTGACAACTGATACACCTGCCCCAAAACACCAAAACAAATAATCCGCAATCCCGAGGGAAGTTGTTTGGAGCCCAGTTTCCCCCAGTTTATCAAGTTATCCCCATATCAGGTAAACCCAAATATACAGGGGCAAAGCATGGGGACTGGTGTCATCGAGGGATGTGGGCTATGCAAATAAAAACAGTTACAAACACATAGCAAATGTCTCTGTAGACAAGCCCTAACAATATTATGATGCAGCACAGTAAATCAGCTGAAGCTGAAAGGTAATGGCTTATCTGGGGCAACCTAGTAAATTTATGGTGGGGAGATTTGAACAATGATCTTTGTGACCCCTTAATAACTAGAGTAGGGACGCAGGTGGCGCTGTGGGTAAAAGCCTCAGCGCCTAGGGCTTGCCGATCGAAAGGTCGACGGTTCGAATCCCCGCGGCGGGGTGCGCTCCCGTTGCTCGGTCCCAGCACCTGCCAACCTAGCAGTTCGAAAGCACCCCCGGGTGCAAGTAGATAAATAGGGACTGCTTACTAGCGGGAAGGTAAACGGCGTTTCCGTGTGTGGCTCTGGCTCGCCAGAGCAGCGATGTCACGCTGGCCATGTGACCCGGAAGTGTCTCCGGACAGCGCTGGCCCCCGGCCTATAGAGTGAGATGGGTGCACAACCCTAGAGTCTGTCAAGACTGGCCCGTACGGGCAGGGGTACCTTTACCTTTACCTTTTAATAACTAGAGTAGCTATTTCATAGGAATCCCCATGGCAAGGGGATCACAGAATACGGTCGGCAATATAAATTTTCCCAGCTGCCTGCAGAATCTCCGCTTCCTTCTTTTGAATGTTTCTACTGATTGTGATGAACCTTGAAATGGATGTTGGGTGTTTCTTCTGCCAAAGAGCTGGAAATCAGAGGGTGTCTAGAAGACGCTTTAAGCAAACACCAGGGGACAGGCTGATGTTGGGAGGTGCCAGCACAAAGAAGGCATTCCCAAATCCACAGATAAAGGAGTTGTTAAAACAAGGCTCAAAGCTGACTGACAGCAAAATAAAACAATGAGAGAGGTAAGGCAGGAATGAAAGAGCGAAGTCAAGACTCAGGAGAAAGGACTGTCAAAGCAACGGAGGGCAGATTTGCAACAATCCATCTCACTTCCAAGGGGCAAGTTAATGTTTACCTCCAGGCTGTGCATTTCCACAAGAGCAGGTTGCCCATCAGGTGGGTAATTAGGACATCCTCGGACCAGCTGCCCCGCAGCTCCAAAGCACACAGGTACATGAGGGACACGAAACTTCAGAGGTGCCACAGGGTGAAGAGGAACTGGCAGGTCTTCTGCTAAATGACAAGACCGGGACCGTTAGTGACTTGTCATTGGCTTAGGCCAGAGGCTGATCCCAGACTGACAAGAAAGCAAGCCAGCTAAAACACACATCAAATAAGCTGCTCAGTGAACTGTAAATCTGAAAGCAGGCAGGAAGAATAACTGCCTTGTCATAGGGGGTGACAGTGAAGGGAACAGAACTCAACTCAACTCAACAACAGAAATCAGGAAAGACAAAGAGGAAGCTGATGGGGCAACACAAAAAGAGTTTGGCCAAGTTCAGGCACCTGTTGGGCAGCTGCAGTCTTTGCATTGGGAAGGTGGGAGCTTTTGTGTTTACAGGCAAGTGTGGCCCCGAATCACACATTATTGTAGTTCAGGGCTGTGGAATATGGCACTCTTGTTGGACTCCTACAACTTCCATCCATGCCACGCCAGTGTATCCGATGATCAGTGATGTTGTGAGTTGTGCTTCAACCACATCTGGATGGCTATAGGTTATACCTTCCTTGTTTTAGATCCACGGGGAAGGGGGAAGATGCACAGCCAGGAACCCCACCACACAAAGACGGTAGCCATCCAGTAGGTGGCTGAAGTGAGCCTTTGTCTGACATGCCTCCTGCCAGACTCTGAGCCCCAGACTAGAAGGATGCCTGTCGTTCGATGTGTCTAAACAAAGAACTGACTTGGTCTCACAGGAGGATGTGATTTCACAAGCAAAAAGGGTACATGGATGAGAAGTACAGATCACTACTCCTGCCAAACCTTCCCACAGCTTTTCTCCATCATAGTTTTTGTCTTCAGCTGAGCTCTGACACCAGTTAGAAAAGAACTTGTAGGTAATTCACAGGCAAATGGAGGGTTTTGTGCAAATCTGCTCCTGCACCATCCTTCTGCTTTTAAACTCAAACCTCACCCCTCTTTTAGGTGATGGGAACACTCCCATGTTTAGACACACACAAATAGCATTATTTATTTAACGTATTCAGAAAGGACTCATTCAAGTGTCCTACATGCCAGGAAACAAAATTCCTGCGGATCTGTTGTCTAAGGTTGTTAACAGAGAACAACTTAAGGTTTATGTACAGCTTTTGCAATTGGGTTAAACCACAGGTAATACAGGTTACACAGAAAGCGGGAGGATGTTAGGATACTGATGTTCCATTTCACCTAAACAGATGTGTGGAGCTGTTGAATGTCACATGTCTGTTTACATTCCAGCACAGCTTGCTGGGAACTTCCATTTGTGTATAGCTTTTGCCTTATGCTTCTTGCTCTTAGACATGAAGGAGAGCAGACATGTTTTCTTTGTCTTGATCTATGCTGAATAAACTGCTTGTAAATATGCTTTCCATATACCTCTGTCCGCCAATCCATCGCGAAGAGTTTGTTATCTCTGCTGGCTTGCGTGCTCAGCTTCTGAAAGGCTTCTGAAGCTCTGAGTCGCACCTTTTGATGCAGAACCGAGGACTGGAGTTCGACCAGCTGCCGGCCGGTGGGCTGGAGCCAGCTGGGGGTCTGCCAATTGCCCCCGTTCCCTTGGACGCATCCCAACACTCACAAGGTGTCTTACAGTGCAAATGTTGAAAAGAAAAGGGCTGAACATGCACAATAACAACACCAGATTAAAAACCTATATTGGGGGTCAGATTGGAGGGATGAAGAAAAATCCACGCAAAGAAAGAATGCGCGGTGGTGGCCCTGATGCTAGCCTCGAGGTGTTGGCAAATGCCTTGGTCACCCACACCCCAGATGTTGCTGGTGTTGGAATACCTTACCTGCCTGAATGGGGCTCCAGTCCTTGGAGGGAGCTGCTTCGTAGAGGCTGGAGGGATCGTACATGTACTGGCTAAGCTCATAGCTACTCGAGCTGAGGCCCGATTCCTTATACCTTTGGAGCATGCTTGGTTCCTCAGGCAATGGAACCTACAATGGAGAAGAGGAGCGGGGAAGAGGCGGAATAGAAGGAAAGATGGTCTTGATGAAAGCAAAGGGAAAACAAACTGCAGCACCCTTTACAGAGAACTTTAAAGCTGGCATTTGCTTTCTAAGGCTCTCAGGCCTATCCGAGTAGCACCAGCTGGGATGAGGGAAGAAGAAAGGATACCCTGGACAAGCCCCAAAGCTCGCACCTCATGCGCTGGAAAACTTGTGTTCTCCTGGAACTTCCACTGGAATTCATCCTGAATCTGTCCTTGTTGCAAAGGATAACTGTAGTTTATATCATAGGAGCCATCTTTCTTTGAAATGTAATTGTCTTCGTAGGACTCATGCCTCTTAGACCTTATTGAAGAAGGGTAGCAAAAGGGGGGGGGAGATAGAGAGATTTTGTTTACAAATCTGTTGGCTGCACTCTCACAGAGAGCTCATGCATCTCCCCACAGGAGAGCATGGTTATGCATTAAGGGCACATTTGTGCATATTTTGAGGCTGTTTGGGCTCCAGGGTCTTACTCTGAGTGAAAAACAAAAAATGGATCTATTAAAGATGACCTCCTAACTTTTCTTTATTGAAACGTTTGCAGTGGTTGGATTTCAGGTTTGCTGCAAATAACAGAGCAACATATCTAGTTCTCCAGGACCTACACAGAAGCCTGGGCATCCCGGGACTATACTCACCTGGCAAAGGTCTCAGGAGCCTCCTGTGGGGAAACGTGCTTCCCTGAGGCACATTGCAAGAGCAGAGAGTCACCAAGTGTCATTCACAGACACTGGATTGAGGAGATCTTAGTCATTTCCCAGCTGGGTGGGTCAACTCATAGGATTTCCTTACCAAACTGGAGTTCCATTGTGATGCTCTGCAAAGCCGCTGCTTTCTACCCGACGTTGATCTCTGTAATAGTTCTGGTCCCAGTAATTTGTACCTTCACCCCAGGTATCTCTCTGTCTTGGATCTACATACTCAGAGAAAACAAAAAGGAGCAGGCATCTGCAACATTTAAAATACTTCCAGGCATCTGCAACATTTAAAAACTGATAAAGCTACACCAGATACGATTGCCTTTTGTTGTCAAAGGGGCTATGCTTAGAAACATCTGTACATCTGATTACAGGAGGCCATTAAAAGTCATGTACACTAGAGGGTTTTTTTACACATGTGAATGCACAAACATAGACAACATGTGTGTACATACTTACACACCGGAACGTACAAATGTTTGTTCATTCTTAAAATTTCTATATTGCCCCTCATCAATGACACAAGGTCTGTTCACTATAATACAAAACAATTCCAATAAAACCATATGGAAAAGTGCCAGAATCCACAGTAGAACAGTCAGCTACACCCCAGGCGCCAGGATTATCAACTCACAAATGCTCGGAGGAACATTTATAATTTGTTAGGCTCAGTCAAAGGCTCACTCAAAATCTACCTTTAGGTTAAGAAAGGTCTATGTAAGACTGAAACCTGGCAGGGGCAAAATGGCCTCTCCATCTGGCCCAAGTTCACACCTAAGCCATACCCTCTCTCCCCTCACCACCCCTGATATACGCCCGCCTTGAGTGGTTTTTGCCAGATTGAAATATGTCCTTGGACTCTGATTATGCTTTTGCTTGCCTGCTTGGATGGAGAAGGGTGGGTGTGGGTGGAAACTAACCTACTGTGTAAAGGTAAAATTCACACTCATGCCCCACCCACTTTAGCCTCTGGTTCTGCCTCCCACTTGCATGTGGCCAGTCTCTCGCTCTCCTAGAAAGAAAGTTATGCCGCAAAATGTGCCAGTACTTTCTAAGCAATTTCTGTGAAATGAGAGTGGTGTTGGCTACCACGTTTATTTTTTCTGAGAGAGAGATCTCCATAATCAGGACCAGCAGAACATAGATGATTTCCCATGGTAAGTATAAGGTTGCCAGGGGCAGCTATCTCTCTAACTCTATGTCATGCCATGCTCATGGTGGCAGCCATTTTGTGTTATGCCATGCCCACTACATGGCAGCCATTTTGTGACTGGCACCCCCAGCACTCCCTCAAAATTTGAAATGTGCCCACTAATACAAAACAGTTGGCAACCCTTGTCTTACTATATTGTATCCAAATTGTGCATGGTGGTTCCTCAGATTAAGGAGTGAATATTCACCTATGTTTGGATAGTGTTGGACATCATTTTAAATCAAGATAACAGGCTGAACCTTTCAAAACTTCTAGATTCTATCCACCAATTTCAAAACTGCACTGATTTTTTTGGTTTCTTAAAATTCCTGCATAACTCAAGGTATAAATGTATTAGTAAATAAATAAATCTGGGACTTCCAGGGCCTGTAAATGGGTCCCACGAAATGTGGTGACATTTAGGCTCAGAACTAGTTTTGAAAAAGTACTGAGAATTTTGAGCCTGTGAGACCAAAAAAATCACATTCTTGCTGAGATGGACTCCTTTTTTTCTTTTCTTTTTTTAAAAAATCCAGAATTTATCAAATGAGGAGGGTCACTGAACACAGCAAATGAGACAATGGTAAATCTAACCACAGAGAATTGTTGGGCTGTGTACATCTAAAGCACTTCCTCCAAAGAATCCTAGGAAGAGTAGTTTGTTAATAGGGGTAAACCACAGTTCACACAATTTATTTTCTGGGTTGGGGAAAATAATGGTGATTTAATGTGGCTTCAGTGTGTGGTGGGTACGAAGCCGATGGCCCTTTACAACACAGAGCCATGAAGGATAGACAGAGGCAGAGAAGAAGCATGGCGTAAGGAAGGCTTTGAATATGTACACACTCACACACCACCAGAATGAATTCCAGGATTCCTCTTCAACCCAGTTAGTTAGTGAAGTATTTTTAAACCAGTTTTGTTTCTGTGGAGAATGCAGTACCTCTCTCACTTTGCCAGGTTTGGGGGTATCTCTGGTAGTCGCCATGCACATAATCTTCCGCAAAGGTCCGGTGGTGGTCTTCATAACCTTGCCTGAAGCGTGGCCCAAAGGAGAGAGAGAGCAGAAAGGGAGATGGAGGAAGCTGCTTTGGGTAACTGTCTAAATTCCTCGTTATTTGTGAGGATAAAAAAAATCAGGAGGGAAATGCTGTCAGAAACAGTTCCAAAAACTGCTATGGAAGGTAATAAATGGGCTATAATGACCACTTGGTAATTGAAATGACCTTCTCTCCCATTTCCAGCTCTGTATTTGATCATTGAAAAATATGAATGCAGACCACAAATAAATCCCTTGATGTTCTACTTACTTTACCTCACTGATGCAATGAATAGCAAGCCTGTCTATAATTCACCAGGGTGAATTGTGAGAGGAGACAAGGCAAATGAGATCAGGAATGAGAGCAGAAACAAATTACAGGATAAAGAAGCAGTGTGACTACAACAGTAGATGTGATATAGGAGATACATAGGCCCAAATCAGATAAAGCAGGAAATTATGGTTTCTGCTATGTACACAAGCTACAGCAAGCATAATGTTTGTATACTCCTCTTCTTTCACAAGCTTTCAATTTCAGTTCTGAACTAACCACGGTTCCCCATAGCATCCAAATTAAGGGAACTGTGGTTTGTTTTAGACTATGTTTAGTGAGAACTAGTTGGGAGCAAACTGTGATTTCAGGACCCGTTTGTTTTCTGGAACAATAGTTTAAAACAGGGTTAGCCAACATGGTGCTCTCTAGATCTTGTTGGACTCCAACTTCTATCAGCCCCCACCAGCATGGCCAGTGATTAGGGATGATGGGAGCTGTAGTTCAGCAACTTCTGTAGGGCCTCATGTAATAATAATAATAATAATGATGATTTATTTATACCCCGCCCATCTGGCTGGGTTTCCCCAGCCACTCTGGGGGGCTTCCAACAAAATATTGAAATACAATAGTCTGTTAAACATTAAAAGCTTCCCTAAACAGGGCTGCCTTCGGATGTCTTCTAAAAGTCTGGTAAGTTAAAGGTAAAGGTACCCCTGCCCGTACGGGCCAGTCTTGCCAGACTCTAGGGTTGTGCGCCCATCTCACTCAAGAGGCCGGGGGCCAGCGCTGTCCGGAGACACTTCCGGGTCACGTGGCCAGCGTGACGAAGCTGCATCTGGCGAGCCAGCGCAGCACACGGAAACGCCGTTTACCTTCCCGCCAGTAAGCGGTCCCTATTTATCTACTTGCACCCGGGGGTGCTTTCGAACTGCTAGGACCGAGCAACGGGAGCGCACCCCGCCGCGGGGATTCGAACCGCCGACCTTTCGATCGGCAAGCCGTAGGCGCTGAGGCTTTTACCCACAGCGCCACCCGCGTCCCATTAAAAGTCTGGTAGTTGTTGGTTAAACAAACAACAGTTTCCTAATTCGGGCATCGCTGAGAACTGTGGTTTGTGTAAACCTGGAAGTGAAAGCTTCCAACTTCTCTGCAGATGCATTAGGGGATAAGAGAACAGCTAAAACTCATCACAGCTTGTTCATATAGTGGGAAAACACAAGGCCTGAGCACATGAACAGTGCCCCACCCTCACCCCCCTCAGCATCCTCAGACGCACAGGCTCCTCTTTAGACTTCTGTCAAATTAGCTCAAATATCTGATGCGTCTGGTTGAACATGCAACTGGAAACCTTCCGAAGAGAAGAGATCCTGGTCAGAGGGAGATTACTAAGGACATTCAACAAAAGACACTAAGAAATGCTCTGCAACCTTTGTGCTAATTACTCAAAGGTCTAAAGCGTACCAAATGTGTACCCAATGATGCTGAGTGGGACCCAAGTGTGCACCCCAACATCATCCATGCTGGAAATGCCTATAGTTATCCAATGTCTGAATCAGGCCATTGTTTTTTCAGTGATTTTTAAAATTCTTTACTGAGGTCACAGGGAGCTCCAAATTTGTTTGGAGTAGTGCAGCAGGAAAGGGGCTGAATAATTCTTTTTCCCTGGGCATTTTCCAACTAAAAATCCCACACACAATCTCCTTCTTTCACCCCAGCAGAAAAGATCTGCAGATCCAGTAGATTTCCCACACAGAGAGAGAGAAAGCTACTAGAGGGATCCTGTAAGTGAGGAGATAGTTATCCCTCTCCTCCTCCTTTGGAACTACTTGGATTAAATGCTCTGATTTGGAGTTCCACACAGCTGCATTAATATAAAAAACAAAACATTGGAATTGAAGTGATAAATAAAAGTTTGAGACCCTCTGTATGAAACAGAGAAGGGCTAGGAGACTATATGGAAGAAGAGGCTCTGCTGATTTCTCTGCAAAGTCCCCCAGTCCTTCTGAGTGTTTCCCCAGCCACTCTGGGCGGCCTCCAACAAAGATTAAAAATACATTAAAACATCACAAATCAAAAACTTCCCTGAACAGGGCTGCCTTCAGATGTCTTCTAAATGTCAGGTAGTTGTTTATCTCTTTGACATCTGGTGGGAGGGCGTTCCACAGGGCAGGTGCCACTACCGAGAAGGCCCTCTGCCTGGTTCCCTGTACCTTTGCTTCTCGCAGTGAGGGAACCGCCAAAAGATCCTCGGCGCTGGACCTCAGTGTCCGGGCAGAACAATGGGGGTGGTGACGCTCCTTTGGGTATACTGGGCCGAGGCCGTTTAGAGCTTTAGAGGTCTTACCTTGAATACGACCGGTTGGGATAGCCAGTTTCATAATACTCTGCTCTGGAGTTTGGCCTCCTATAGTCCTGGAGTCTTGGGTGATGGGCAGCATGGTGGTATTCTACTCGAGCATCTGGCCAAGGCTGAGGCCTAGCCCAGGGTTCATGGTGGTACAGCCACTCACTGGATTGAGGCGGTGGAATGCCATGGGAAACGGCCCTCCATGGGCCCCTCTCGTAGCCTTCCATGTGGGGAACATGTCTCCCTTGTGGCTGGGGCTGCTGCAGTGGGACCCACGGGTCCATCTTGGACTCTCTGCAGAGCCTGCTTTCGTTCAGATTTCCTTACCAAACCAGCTTCGGCTTCCTGCAAAGATAAGCATAATTGTAAGAGAGGTGACACAACAAAAACAGCCCGTCTTCAAAATGAGATACACAAAATCCCAAGGTTTCCATGCCTCATGGTCCCTGCAGACACGCATTAGAGCACATGGGCAGTAGCCTGTAAAGGACTCCCACATAAAAAGCAAGGAAGCGCTTTGTCAAGCTCAGTGGCAGGGCAGGTCACAGGTTCAATACCCGGTGTCTAAATAAATGCACTAAAATTGTATGACTTGGTGCAAAAGATGGGTCTGTGTAAAGTCGTATTTTACTTTGCTTTATTTTGAACACTGAGTTTGTTCAGAGGTTGGCATTTTAGGCACAGAGTTCTGACAGGCTAGGAACACTGAATGGACAGCATTCAACATGACTGATCTCAACATTTAACAAGAATTACAAAGCACTTTTTCTAAGTCCTCAGAGAACTTCACATACACTATTTCAGCATCTTACAAGCAGTCCTGTAAAACTGTGGCCGGCATACGACCAACTAATAAATTCATAACTGAAGTGAGAACGGAACTGAACACTTAGTTGCTCTCTCAACTAGTACATCCCTGTGTTCAAAACACACCTGCGAAGAAATCTTAAATGCCATGTTCTGTAAGAACAAAAGGTATTTCTTCCCCTGCTGGACCATTTTTTAAAGTAACCCATGCCCTCTATATTTTGCACTACTAATCATTGTCAATCCATCTGCGGCAAGTCCTAACATCTGACCCTGCACAAATGGTACTGACTCAATTTGGTTTTGCTTTTGTTTCACACCCACACCCTAGGCAGAGCAAACCGAGTTTCAATGGGGTGCTCCAGGATAAATCCTGGGGTGAGCAACAATATTCCCACCAACACGTGAGCTTGTTTACACACACAAACACACAGACACAACACACCTGTTTAAAAGTGAGACCACCAGCTACAGCTCTAAATGCCGGCCTCAGTCCTTCTCGTCCCCAAAGGCAGCTGTCAAAGTCCGCCTGCCACATCACTTGATGGCTCACTAACTCTGAGCCTGCGCTGGGTCAACGCTCCCTGCTTCTTCCTGTGCCAAAGTCCCAGCCACTTCCATAGCACTGATTAAGCCGGGCAAAGGGCGCCTGGCCTGCTTGCTCAGAGACAAAGATACCTGTGGCTGTTTGCAAACGGCAGAGGGGATCCTTAGCAAACAAACAAAAAAAAGCAAAAAAGTTTTCCATATGTAGAAATACCAGGGAGCAGGAGAATTTGAATACCCAGCATAGGGATGGCAATAATGTTCAGCATTTCTTTTCTTTTTTCTAAAAAAATGTATTGGTTTTCACAAAATTATAAACAAACAAACAAACATAAATCATAACCTTATTAATATTACACTTATTAACATTGTTAAGTGACTTCCTCGCTTCCCCTTGGTTGAATTTCAATGCATATCCTTTTAACGGTTTTCCAAATCATAGTTCTTATAAATTTAACTTGAACATTAACATCCTTAAATCTTTTCATTTTGAGGTTGAACATATTAATTCATCACTTAACTTATATAAAATCCTAAGCCAATCAAGTATCTGCAGGTTGTTTCCAATTAACTTAACATATTTAACTAAATAATCATTAAATTTGGTCCATTCTTCCTGATACTCCTCCTCCTTCTGGTTGCGGACTCTTCCGGTTAGGTCAGCTAGCTCCGAAAACTCCATCATCTTCATCTGCCATTCTTCCACCGTAGGTAGTTCTTGCGTTTTCCACTTTTTAGCCAGCATCTTTCTTTCTTTCTTTCTTTCTTTCTTTCTTTCTTTCTTTCTTTCTTTCTCTTTGCACCAGTCTTTTGTCTCACATCTTCAAACATCCTCCTGCAGGCACAAGGGCCCAAAAAAACTTCTTCTTTGTTGGTACTGAAAAGTGAGTTGCTCCAAGAAGGAAACTGTTCCAAAGCAATGTGCAGCAGCCACTGGTGAAAAAGCATTGTATGCTGCAGGACTAACTGCACACTCTGAACCACGCGTGGTCCATTCAGAGGAAGTAAGCCCTACCAGGCTTGGCGTGTCATCCCTTGACATCTTTTCGACAGTAGTCCACATTGTATTTTGCAGTTTGTTTGGTTTTTTGTATTTGTTTGTTTTTTGTATTATTAATTGAATTTATATACCACTCTACCGTGGTACCTCGGGTTAAGTACTTAATTCGTTCTGGAGGTCCGTTCTTAACCTGAAAGTGTTCTTAACCTGAAGCGCCACTTTAGCTAATGGGGCCTCCTGCTGCTGCACCACCGCTGCCCGATTTCTGTTCTCATCCTGAAGCAAAGTTCTTAACCAGAGGTAATATTTCTGGGTTAGCAGAGTCTGTAACCTGAAGCGTATGTAACCTGAAGCGTATGTAACCCGAGGTACCACTGTATATCCAGAGGTCTCAGGGCGGTTCACATAAAAAGTTTCCATCCTTCCTGCCCCCCCCATCTTCACTAATGTAATTATTTTAACAACTGGTGCTTACACACACACACACACACACACACACACACACACACCCTGCCCCCAGCTGGACCTTTCTGTGCTTAAAAATCTACCCGTCAACATGCCAACTTGATTTAAGCATTTTAGAGCAAAGTTTTACACAATTCCTGCGAGGGTTAATTCCTTGGGATGCAGCTGAAAGAAAACACAAACAGGCCTGCAAGTGACTTTAACGTACAAAAGAAGGATTATTAGAATCAAAGGCTACCCGCCCACCTCCAGAGAGTGACCAAGTTTCCTAAAGACGTTAACAAGTTGCATTTCATGCATTCTGCTTTTTACAAATTTTGAAATTGCGCCCCCCCCTCCCTTGCTTGCCTTATTCTTTGAAATGACTCCCTTTATTTATTGCTAATGCTTTTTTAAAAAAAGGTTTTACTTACACCTCCTATCACTAAAACAAAGTCTTTGCCTCTGCATCCCATCGTGACAACAAGCTGTGCTTCTGTCTGGCTTATTAGCATAGCCACGCCCACAGGCATTCCCCGCCACGTCAGCTAGTCGGAACCTTCCAGCTGGGATCCTCGCTTGCCGCCGGAACGTTAGTTACGCGCACTACAAATAAGGGAAAAGGGAGGTGGCCGCATTGGCACCGCCATATAGAGAAGGTCACTTCGCTACTGGACAAAGGAATGAATTCCTTGGGCGCCTGCAAAGCGTTTTAATGCCCCTAATCGCTCCAAGCATCAAAGCAGCTGTACATATGTCAGCTGTGTCTTGAGACAACTGCACCAGAAGCATTTTTTTTTAAAAAAAAGAGAGGTTTTATCCCCATGGAGCGTTGTTTGCCGTGTTATTGTTATTTATTGATTAAATTTGCATGCCGCCTTTGATCCGAAGATCAATAGCTGTAGGAGCTATGGATGTTGCACTCTTGCGTGCAAATACATGAGAACAAGTGGAACCTGTAAGAAAACGTTGCAGGATTTGAGCCACTCTCTTCTCCCTCTCCGCACCTCCCTTTCCAGGCGCAATGTGTGTTATCAGTCTTCCTTGGGCTGTTCGTTTGCAACGTTTTTGTAGTTCTGCAACACCAAGCCTGCTGATCATAGAATCATAGAGTTGGAAGAGACCACAAGGGCCATCGAGTCCAACCCCCTGCCAAGCAGGAAACACCATCAGAGCACTCCTGACATATGGTTGTCAAGCCTCTGCTTAAAGACCTCCAAAGAAGGAGACTCCACCACACTCCTTGGCAGCAAATTCCACTGTCGAACAGCTCTTACTGTCAGGAAGTTCTTCCTAATGTTTAGGTGGAATCTTCTTTCTTGTAGTTTGGATCCATTGCTCCGTGTCCGCTTCTCTGGAGCAGCAGAAAACAACCTTTCTCCCTCCTCTATGTGACATCCTTTTATATATTTGAACATGGCTATCATATCACCCCTTAACCTCCTCTTCTCCAGGCTAAACATGCCCAGCTCCCTTAGCCGTTCCTCATAAGGCATCATTTCCAGGCCTTTGACCATTTTGGTTGCCCTCCTCTGGACACGTTCCAGTTTGTCAGTGTCCTTCTTGAACTGTGGTGCCCAGAACTGGACACAGTACTCCAGGTGAGGTCTGACCAGAGCAGAATACAGTGGCACTATTACTTCCCTTGATCTAGATGCTATACTCCTATTGATGCAGCCCAGAATTGCATTGGCTTTTTTAGTTGCCGCGTCACACTGTTGGCTCATGTCAAGTTTGTGGTCAACCAAGACTCCTAGATCCTTTTCACATGTACTGCTCTCAAGCCAGGTGTCCCCCATTTTGTATTTGTGCCTCTCATTTTTTTTGCCCAAGTGCAATACTTTACATTTCTCCCTGTTAAAATTCATCTTGTTTGTTTTTGCCCAGTTCTCTAATCTGTCAAGGTCGTTTTGAAGTGTGATCCTGTCCTCTGGGGTGTTAGCCACCCCTCCCAGTTTGGTGTCATCTGCAAATTTGATCAGGATGCCCTTGAGTCCATCATCCAAGTCGTTGATAAAGATGTTGAATAAGACCGGGCCCAAGACAGAACCCTGTGGCACCCCACTAGTCACTCTTCTCCAGGATGAAGAGGAACCATTGATGAGCACCCTTTGGGTTCGGTCAGTCAGCCAGTTACAAATCCACTGATAGCATCCTCTGCATGGAAAGTGCCATTTTGGCTGCACACATAAGGCATTAGCATGTTGGACCATGCAACAAAATGCTGCAGCGGGAGGTGTCTCAGAGCAGAAACATCTGCATGCGCTTTAAGCATGTAATCCTGATGTGGAAGACAGGAATGTACTGCATCAGCCTGCAGGTAAATGGACACTTTTGTGATGAATGAAAACACTCCCAGCCAAATTTAAAACTAACATAGCAAGGAGGAGGCTGGAGAGACCCTTTCCCCCTGACCAGCTAGCTTTTTACTTGCAGGTAGTTGTTTTATTACATGATGGAGCAGTCGTTCCACCTAAAGTCAGCTCTGTAACCTCTATATTCCACCACCTCATTCTGCCGCATGCGAAGTGGAGGAGCTCCAGCGAGTTTGAGTGCTCTGTGCACGACTTTTCATCTGAATCATTAGTGGAAAGGCACAGTTCTGTTAATTGACGGAGCAGAAAACAAAACATTTCCTATCCACTCTGCCATGGCTCTGTAATTAAAAATGTTCCTCTGGGCTATATAGTATAGCCAAGAGACAATGGCACTGGAATATCCATAACTCATGAGGATGCATTATTTATTGGATTGGTTTAAATTTTAAGATTGGTTTAAAATGAGAATAAAACACTCCACACGCAGTTTATGTGCAGCTTGGTGGTGGTTGTTTAAAGACTAAAACTCTAGATTCTTGGTAGCTTATGGGTTTTTTTTTGGGGGGGGGGAGGTTCTGTCTTTCTCTGTATAACACCACTGCTGCACATCTAACACACACACACACACATATAAAAACATACAGAAATTGGCATCCTAAAACTAAGCACATTCCTAGATCTCAGGATGGCTGAGAATAGCTTCTGCAGACGGCTTAGGAACCAGAGGAGGGCTTGGCAGAGCAGGGGGTGATGTGGAGGAAACCCAGCAAAACGTTTTCAGGTGATATAAAGTTACTACAGGTTTTTGCTTAATCTCACAGGGCACGTTGCTCATGCCTAAGAGAAAACATCCTTGTGACCAGATGACCAGGGACAGGTTCCAGATTGCCATGTGCTGGACTGATGTATACGTTGACGCACTTGCATTTGCACCCATTCTAGGTCGTATTGCTGTAAGGCAGGGGTGGGGAATCCAAAGCTGGCCCCCCAAGCCTCTCTGTCTGGTTCTCGCGACTCTCCACAGGCCAAGGCCCCTTCCCAGCCACCTTCCCTTCTGGCTTGGCCTTGCAGCCACCTTGGGAGTGTTTCTACCTTGTCTCCCTGAACTCTGGTGGAGGAGTGTGTTTGTGTGTGTACAGTGGTACCTCGGGTTAAGTACTTAATTTGTTCCGGAGGTCCGTACTTAACTTGAAACTGTTCTTAACCTGAAGCACCACTTTAGCTAATGGAGCCTCCCGCTGCTGCTGCCGCACGATTTCTGTTCTCATCCTGAAGCAAAGTTCTTAACCCGAGGTACTATTTCTGGGTTAGTGGAGTCTGTAACCTGAAGCGTATGCAACCTGAAGCGTATGTAACCCGAGGTACCATGGTATATAGAAACCAGGCTACTGATTCTGTTTTGCGTGGAATGGGTTTATGTTTTTATTATTGTACAGTTTTTATAACTGGACACAGTGCTATTTTTCTAGAACAACAGGTGCCGGAACTCGCCTTGAATCAGTGATGCTTGAGCTGGCCAATGTGTCTTCTGGCTTAAAAACCACAAAACCATGTGGAGGGCAGTAATACAGAACTTCGGGCAATGCCTTGTTCGGCTCTCGCTCCGTGGGACCTGCCTTCCATTGACATAGTCGCAGCAGGTGCTGTAACTGATTTGACTTCCCGCTGTGGCGATAACACAGGGTCCCTGGACGTTTCACCGTCTATTGATCCCTGTGCCACCACTTTATTTCTCGCTGCCACCACCCAGGCCCTAGCTGGTACAATACTGAGTCCAGTCAGGGTTAAATTGGAACATAAACTTCTGTTTATTTATTGCAGTTTAACAAGCGTGTGGTTTCATAAACGGTATCGGTCAATTACAGTCATGGGGTGCCTATCCAGACCTATAACGTCCGCTACCTGCTCTCACTCACTAAACCACCTCTCAGATATTTACTTGTCTTCCTAGCCCTTAACTGTTCCTGACTCAGCTTATTTTGCTACACTAACTCAACCTACCCACAGACTCTATCGCAATTCACTCCCACTCCCAACAAACTCCACCCTTCACTCCTCCCAGAGCTGATTTAATAGTCCCTCTGACTCCACCCCCCTGGGTTCTGATTGGGTAACTTGTTTAACTATTTCACCTCCAGCACTCTCATATGTTAACGTCACACCAACGTCCCCCAAGGCACACTCTCCTGTTGTCTCCTGAAGCAGGCGGATGCCGACTCACTCACAGGTGAGAATTAGCTTGGCAGAGCAGGAGGAAATGAGGGTTACTGAAGTTTACAACACCAGTAGACCTGGTGCCTTCTCCACCCTGCAGTACGAGTAGGCAAGAGGGTCCCCTGGCTTCTTATTTGCCAACCTTGAGATGGATACGAAACAGGGCAGCAGAGGCAGCAGCAGTGGAGGTAAAAGGGTTTTGCCAGCAAGTCACTTTGGCAGATGGTTGAGCCTTTGCCTTCTACCCCTCCTTTCTTCTTAGTCTAGGACAGGCTTAGGCAAATGTTTGGGGACTACAACTCCCATCATCCCTGACCTCTGGTCCTGTTGGCTAGGGATGATGGGAATTGTAGTCCCAAAACAGCTGGAGGGCCGGGTTTGCCTATGCCTGGCCTAGCAGCAGCAAAAATAGGTGCTGAGCATGCCACTAGAGACAGCTCTACTCTGCTCCCTTCTGTACTGTTCTTCCGCCAAAGAACTCAGAGTGGTTCCTAAGCAGGCAGTCTCTCTTGCAGGCAACTTGGAGGGCCAGAAATGTCTCGTTCTCTAGGCTTGAATACTCTAGGAGTGTAGTCTGGGGCTTGTACACATGCCAGCACTGCTGCTGCTGCTCCAATATTTTTGAAGATGGCAAGAAAGCTGGGTGAAGAGCAGACAAGGGTATAAATACAACACTGTTGGGTTCTGACAGGTAGACGCTATACGGATACCATGCATTCAGCGGCTGGGCCTGCCACAGTATCCTGTCCCCTCCCATAATCCAAAACTGCCTTAGTGGCTTAAGTGAATCATTTGGCTTTCATGGTGGCAGTCTCCTTCCTCTTCAGCAGGATGGAGCCAAGGGTGGTTTCTTCAAGACAGGCTTAACTAACGGGGATGACCACCTTTCCTGTAGACTTACGCTGCGTCACGTGTGCAAAGGCTTCATTTACCTGAAAATAATTCAAACACAAATGCACGAGAAGTTTTGCAAAGATGCCAGTGTACACATATCTCTGCAGCAACGCTCAAGCATTGTGCACAACAAATGAAGAAAGCAGGTCACATTTACAGACATGCACTCAAAGTGCTAGAACATCAGGCCCCTTTGAGGCTGCTAAACAGCTTTTTAGGGCAGCCAAGTACAATCCTTAATCGTTGCCGGTTCAGTTAAGTTGTGGGTGAACATATCAGACGACACAGCAATTCTTCAAACAGCTCTTGTTTATTCAGAGGCCAGAACAGAACTGAGCTGAAGGGCTCAGTCAGCCTGCTTATATAGAGCTCCAGTACAACGCAACTTTAGCAACTTTCTAAAACTATCCAATCACTGAACATCACTTTCGATCCTTCATTTGCATAACTATCTACAGTATCCCCCTGCTGGCCCAGGGTGAGAACTTCAGTACATAACAAGTTCCTTTTGGCTTTATGCTAAAGGGCCACCCAGATTTAAACAGGCTAGGGAAGCCAAAGGCTACCCCATTGTTCCTGGGACATCTGTCACTGAAATGGCCTTGCCTTGCTTCTGTCTGTTTAAGATGGTTTTGTGGTTTTATCTTGCCCTGTCATGCATTTGGCTATGTCATCTTTTATCATTAAGAGCAGTATATAAATTAATAAATATATGAAATATATACTAACCAGATGGCACAGCACTTGGACTTCTTCAGATATTGGCCACAAAGAAGCCAGAATTATACAAGGTCAGAAACAAACCCCCTCAAATAGCACTTCTCCAACCTGGTGCCCTCCAGACGTTTTGGACTACATTGTGCTGGTTCCCACACAGGTATCCCAAAATATAATTGGCCAATTTGGGGAGGGGGGGGATCTTTGGAGATGGTTTAGAGCTCACATCCAGGTAAACCCTCCAAGATGAAAGGGCCCTTGTAGGTCATCCTATGGCGTGTGAAGTAGATGCAGGGCCCAGGTCTGAAATGCCTCCTTGAAGATGTCCCCGCCAACAGTGTCAATGACCATATCCGGCCCCATTGTTCTCAGTCAGCTTCATCACTTCTTCTCTCAGGCTGGCGCTGCTGTAATTCACACTTTGGACAGCCCCTTTCCGGAGAGCCAGATCGCATTTGCTGTCACTACCTGCTGCTGCTATCACCTGCAATCACAGAAGATACAGACACACACAAAGATTGCCTTCCAGCTGCTGTGGCAGGGAAACCTTTTGCCATTACTCTTGAATGAGTGTTGAAGCAATGATTCTTCAACATCAACTTCGTTGGACTGGTCATGTTGTGCGGATGCCTGATGATCGTCTTCCAACTACTCTATTCCGAACTTAAAAATGGAAAGCGTAATGCTGGTGGTCAAGAAAAGAGGTTTAAAGACTGTCTCAAGGCAAATCTTTAAAAATCTAGTATAAACACTGACAATTGGGAAACACCGGCCTGCAAGTGCCCCAATTGGAGAACAGCCTTTACCAAAGGTGCCATGGGCTTTGAAGACACTCGAACTCAGGATGCAAGGGAGAAACGTGCTAAGAGGAAGGCACGCTTGGCAAATCCACACCGTGATCAACTCCCACCCGGAAACCAATGTCCCCACTGTGGAAGGACGTGTGGATCCAGAATTGGCCTCCGCAGTCACTTATGGACTCATTAAAACCATGTTTATGGAAGACAATCTTACTCGGCTATGAGTGATCGCTGAGGAAGAAGAAGAAGAAGAAGAAGAAGAAGAGTTTAAAGAGCGCAACAGCAGCCACTCGGAAGGAAAATAAAAGAAATTAGGCATAATTGCATGAATCCAAGAAAGGGGAGGAGACTCCTCCTTTCCCCTGTAGCCCGGGGGATTGTAGAACCATCCATAATGCCATCTGAGTCTAAAGGCCAGCTGTAGTTCACCCCCTCCTGATGAACATGGACGGGGGCCTACCTTTGCCTTAAGAACGTTGGTTGCAACATACAGAGTGGCAAGTCCAGTGGCACCAGCAGCTGCTGTCACCAAAACAGTCTCCCTGTAACAGTCAGAACCCACCACAAGGCAGCATGAGACTGGAGAGGCCACACAGACCTTCCTTATCCAAAACACAGCGACATAAAAAGATAAGTAAATCAGAGCATATCAGGCATGTATCCCCCCGTAGCCTGATTTAAAGAATCCTCCAGCTCTATATTATGCTCATCAAGTGAAAAGCAGTCATGTGTAAACCAAGTTCTGAGATGGCTGAGAATTGTGAAGGCTTCTCAGGAGGCAGGAGAGGAAGCTGGAGGGGGTGGAGAAAGTGCCGGCTGGCTGCCTTTCTCCAACAGTTGGTTGGTTGATCTCTGCTGATCTTAGTCCTTTTCTCTCCCCACTCCACTCCATAGGGACAGCTAGCTGCTGAAGAGACGTAGGCTAAACAGATAAACAATAGATGGAGAAAGGAACCATGCCCTCTGCCTGTTTCTGGGGAGTCTTAAGAATTTTCACCAGTCAAAGCCTGACTTAGGACTCAGATACACAGCTGCAAATAAAACATTTTAAATGTTTTGTAAAATGCAATAGAAAAATGTGACACCAGATTGGTGACAGTGAGCTATGCAAAATCCAATGTATTTTTCAGAAGGTTTTTTTAAAAAGCATTTTTGCAGCATTTTTTTATATGTGTGTAGATTCCATCTTAGACACAGCTACTGGATTCTTCCTTTTTAAAAAAAAAAATAATTTTTATTCATTTTCCAAAAAAGTTTTATACAGTCAACAAATTATTTTACACTCATGCTTCAATTTTTGACTTCCCTCAGTTTCTCTGTCAATCTTTCAAAAAATTTCTATTTATTGATGTATTTCTAAACATGATATTGCCTTTCCCCACTCCTTTTCCTCTTACTCCCTTTATTGCAGTATTTCTTACTATTTCACAGAGTCTCTTCAAAACCAACAAGCGTTGTCTGTGCATCACATATATTTTTCAGATATTCTGTAAATTTCCCCCAGTCCTCGATAACCTTTTGGTCTTTCTGGTATCGAATCTTCCCAGTCAATTTTTCCAATTCTGCATATTCGGTCAATTTCCTTCTCCATTCTTCCACTGTTGGAATTTCTTCCTGTTTCCATCTTTGGGCCAGAAGTATCCTTGCGGCAGTCACTGCATATTGAAACAGTTTACAGTCTCTCTTACTGATTTCATTTCCTACCATTCCTAATAGAAAGGCTTCTGGTTTTTAACGAACGTATATTTCAACATCTTTTTCAATTCATTGTATATCATTTCCCAGAAGTCTTTCACCTTTTTACATTCCCATCACATATGATAGAAAGTACCTTCTTTTTCTTTACATTTCCAACACTTATTGCATGTTTTTATACATTTTGGCCAGTTTAACTGGCGTTATATACCATCTGTAAAACATTTTCATTACATTTTCTTTCAACGCAGTATGTGCCGTAAATTTTAGCCTTTCATTCCATAATGAAAGGAATGAAATTATGGAATGGATTCTTCCTTCTCATTTCTTGCTGCCTCTTTCTCCTGCTTGCCTGCCCCACTTGTATACAACAGTCTATCTCCCTGGTTGATTTCTTATTTAGCCAGCATTTTGCTAACTTTATTGTTCCCATAGTAACAAAGTACCGACTCCCTGCCTGAAAAAGCAGCCATTTTATATTCTAGCCACCAACAAAATCAGATCATTTCTTCACGCTCATCTACAGTATTTACATCATTTGGTGTAACAGCTATATCGGCAAAAGATCCGAAATATAGAGCAACAACCCTGAACTTTACTCAAAATGCTGCGCTGATCGGGTTAATCCCCTCACTATACACCAGGGAATGTCTCAAGGCAGCCAGCAACTGCAACAGGAAACTGTATTTTGTTGGCCAGTCATAATAAGGTTTAATCGCACTGATCTGTGTGCCTCCTCCCCTTACCCTGACTGCGTCTTTGCTCTCCATTCAAGGGCCAGAATGGGTGTGCCATAGGAGATGGGCAGAGGGGCAGTATCTTCATAAGCCACTCCAGGTGGGATCATCCACAGGAGCTCCACAAAAGAGACAAACAAAAATACCAAACTTCCAAAAAAAGGTCTTTCTTTCCAAAGGCCTTTCCCACCCCTCTGGTTTTTTTGTTTTGAATGTTTATTTTGCTCAGACGGTCATTTACCCTCGCTAGATTCAACATGCTGCCATCTGCCTTATCGCAGGGCAAATTTGAGGGTAAACCGTACGCGGAACGAGTCTGCCCCTGCGGCTTGATGGAGGTAGAAACTGTCTCTCATGCCTTGTTACGCTGCCGTTCCTACGGGGATATACGCTTGGTTATTTATTACCCCTGCTATACAAAAATCTCCAAATGAATCCAAACTTCAATGTCTAAAATCCCTGGTAGAGGACAAGGATCCTGAGATTGCGTTAAGGGCAGCCAAATTCTGTGTGATTACCATAAAACTTAGGGAACAAGCTGTGCTATCATAATGATTAAGGTTTTAAATGATAATTTTAGGTTATATGTTATTGACTAAGTTTTAATTTATATATTTTTTTAACTGTTGCTATATCTGTATTGTCCCTGTTCTACCTAATTGCAAATTCAAATGTATCCCTATCGTGTTTTATGACTTCCTTGATATTGTATAATAATAATTTATTATTTATACCCCGCCCATCTGGCTGGGTTTCCCCAGCCACTCTGGGCGGCTTCCAACTGAATATTAAAAACAGTACAGCATCAAACATTAAAAACTTCCCTAAAGAGGGCTGCCTTCAGATGACTTTTAAAAGTAAAATAGTTGTTTATTGCTTTGACATCTGCTGGGAGGGCGCCACTACCGAGAAGGCCCTCTGCCTGGTTCCCTGTAACCTTACTTCTCGCAATGAGGGAATCGCCAGAAGGCCCTCGGCGCTGGATCTCAGTGTCCGGACTGAACGATGGGGGTGGAGACGCTCCTTCAGGTATGCTGGACCCAGTATGTGGGCTGAAACTGGTCTGTGACCGAAATAATAAAATTCATTCATTCTTTTATTTTGCTCTAGGTTAGGACTTTCTAAATAGATAAGCACAAGTCCAAGGTTGCTGTCTATGTTATGTCACCCTGGTCTTCAGCAACGAAGAGGTCCAGGGTGTTACAGCCACACCCTTGTTCATAAGGCAATGTTGCAGAGTACCATATTTTTCCGTCTATAAAACACCCCCATGTATAAGACTATTTTGGGTGACTCGGATTTAAGAAAATGGCCTCAGCACTATCTGTGTATAAGCTGCCCCCTAATTTTTGACATAATTTATTAGGGGGGGAACCTAGTCTTCTACATGGAAAAATATGGTAATTTCACTGCAGTTGAAGCAGTCCTGGCTGTCTTCAAATACATGCACATGAGAGGAACACACACAGCAAATGGGCTCAAGTGGTAACAGACATGGCCAAACACATAAAGATGTTGCCACTTTTTTCATTAGAAGATTGGCCAGAAGGTTAACTAACCTCACTTGCTAGATTCGGGATACAACACAGGTCAGTGCTGTCCAAAATGTCATGATGAAAATTCCCAAAAATGCCAACCCAAAGTTGCACAGGCAACCCCCTCTTAACACATCTGGAGCAGTGAGGTAGCTTTGGCCAATATTTTGATGGATTAGACATCTACACGCTGCAACCCTAAAGAATGATACTTTGGGGGCTTGTTTTCAATTACCTTTTGATCTGCAATGTACCGTATTTTTCGCTCTATAGGACGCACTTTTTCCCCTCCAAAAATTAAGGGGAAATGTGTGTGCGTCCTGTGGAGCGAATGCAGGCTCCTTGGCTTCAGCGATAGCAACGCGAAGCCTCCGAAGCGCAGAGGGAGCGCTCCCAGTCCCACCAGGAGATGCTGGGGACTGAACCTGATGCCTTCTGCATGCTAAGCAGTTGTTCTACCACTGAGCTATGGCCCTAGCTCACAATATTGCTGTCAGGATAAAATGGAGAAGGTGGAGGCTGAAGTGTGTATGCTCTGTGGAGGAAAGGTGGGATAGAAGTATAAGAAGGAATAAAATATGTAAACTAGCCTATAAGTGAATAAACTACAGTATATTTTTAACTTACTCTCCTAATAATTTGTATATAAATTATAAAAGTGGTATATAAATTTTGTTAAATAAAAAAAGAGGAAATGTTCAGACTTTCAAACAGTATGTTATGCCTGAGCCTTCATTGCTGAAACTCCCAACAGCATTTTCATGCTCACAAACACCTGATGAAGGAACCATTGTGACATAACCCATTCAAGCAGAGTGAAGGGGCAACAGGCTGTCAACAGTGGCAGTAGTTGGGGGCTCCCATCTATTAAAAAGCCACAGAAAGTCTTTTCATACTGCCTGAGGAATTAATCCCATATTTAACGTTCATAATTGCTGGATCGATTTAACAGGACTGGAGCTAACATTTGCTTGGATTTGGCACCATTGCTAGGGAACTGCTTGCTGCGTCCTCCGCTTTGAAGTCACCCTGGTCTTTGGGCCTCCAGCCCCTTCTTCAGCATGTCCAACACATCTAAGAGGCGTATGATACTAGTGTTCCACTGGGTTAGGAAGAAGCCCCTGACAGAGAAGCCGTGCTCTACCATCTCGGCCAGACCTTCTGCCTCTGCACCGGCTTGCAACACTCCTCACATTTCACCCTACTTCACAAGGAGCAAGACACAACCCACTCCTCTCAGGAGGTCCAGCAGGCGCAAGGTGCTGCGATTGCCGAATCTCACCGACCCCAAGTTTTTAAGATCTGTCATTGGCAGCGTTGGCCGGAAGAGAGCCCGCAGGCGTGGCAAGCAAACGAAGACTCCAGCGGGAACAGGAAAAGGGGTGAGGGCTAGGCTAGAGGCAAGAAGGCTCCAAAGCTATTTGCGGGGTGGGATTGCTTTGGAAGATGCCTTCTCACAATCTCTACCCTTGAACCACGTAAGGACATAAGAAGTGAATGCTGGATGAGGCCACATTGGCCTGTCTAGTCCAGCATCCTGTTCTCACAGTGGTCAACCAGAGGCCTGTGGAAACAAGAGCATTTTGTATTCCCTTCCTGCATCTTCCAGCAACTAGTATTCACAAACGTTACTGCCACTGACTGTGGAGGTAGAGTATAGCCATCGTGCCTAGTGGCCATTGATAGCCTTTCCTGCATAAAACCATCCAAGTTGGTGGCCGTCACAGCTTTCTGTGGGATTGAGCTTCCAGAGGGGTAGCTGAGCATGCCTGCTGCAGGAAAAACAGGCATGAAAAGCACATTTCTCCCCAAGAATCCTGGGAATTGCAGTTTGTAAAGGGTGCTACAAATTGTAGCTATGCGGTAGAAGGGTAATCTACACTTCCCAGGATTCTTACAGGGGAGAACGATAATGCTTTTAATGTATGGTGTGTAAAAAAGGTAAAGGTACCCCTGCCCGTACGGGCCAGTCTTGACGGACTCTAGTGTTGTGCGCCCATCTCACTCAAGAGGCCGGGGGCCAACGCTGTCCGGAGACACTTCCGGGTCACGTGGCCAGCGTGACAAAGCTGCATCTGGCAAGCCAGCGCAGCACACGGAAACGCCGTTTACCTTCCCGCCAGTAAGCGGTCCCTATTTATCTACTTGCACCCGGGGGTGCTTTCGAACTGCTAGGTTGGCAGGCGCTGGGACCGAGCAACGGGAGCGCACCCCGCCGCGGGGATTCGAACCGCCGACCTTTCGATCGGCAAGCCCTAGGCGCTGAGGCTTTTACCCACAGCGCCACCCGCGTCCTGGTATGTATGGTGTGTACACAGCCTCAAATTAGCTCCCCCAGCTCTGTATACTAGAGCAAAGATTATAATGCATATTGTTGTTGTTGTACTTTTATAAATATTATAAAACCCATTCCTGCAAGCCATGTAGTCTGGAATAAACTCGGTCACCCCTCCCATCATTAATTGTTTCTACTAGGTGGGGAGGGGTGTTGGATCTGCTTCCCTGCCTTGAAGAAAGGCGCAGGTCAGATGTGTGCCCAGACCTGGCCACGCTTCGCAAGAGAGGTGTGTTGGTTCAAAGTGTCCACCCTGCCTGCAACTTGCACTCCTTCCTGACGTGTCTTCCCCAAACCCCTTCTTCCAGAGGCTGTGTTGAAGTTTTCCATCACGTGGAACACAAACTGGCGGAACTACCTCGAGGCTCAGGCAGTGGTGGAAACCCTCCTCAAGCATGAGACGCCAGAGAGCCTCTTGCAATACGAAGGGATCAAAGCAGCTGTGGAGTCTCTCCTACCACACACGGCACTTCCAGAGGCTGGGCCGGTTACTGCAGGCCTCCATGATCCTCGATTTCATGGTGACAAAACATGAAGTTGCCTGACGCCGCCAAGTGGGAGGAGGAGATGGACACGTGATGAGCTTTATTTATTTATTTATTAATTTTATTGAGTACAAATTAGAAAAAAATACAAATATACAAAAAAAGGAAAATACATGTAACCAATAGAAAATTAGAAAACATTTTACCTCTTCTCATATTTACAATTATTTGCAACTCTACAAAACAATATTCACAATAAGGAAAAGAAATGAAAGGTAAAATATAAAAGAAAAGAACAAGAAGAAGAAGAAGATAAAGAAAAGGAAGAAATAAGATCAAGAATGAGAATTTTAAAAGTAGATAAGTATTCACTATACACAGCCATTTCCAATCTATATTTATGGAAGGGGCTCCGTTTCTCCTGCCGCTTCACTGAAGGGGCGCTGAGCAGAGAGGGGGAGAATTTTTTTCCCCTCTTGTTCTCCCACTCTAAAACAAAGGTGCGTCCTATAGAGCGGAAAATACGGTACTCCTCTGCCAGAGCTTTGGTATTGGCCACACCAATTACACGACCCCCCTAGTCCAAAAGCCATCAATGGAAAGCTATCAACACACGAGATAATTTGATGCCCTACCATTTCTCCCTGCAAAACAGTAAAACATCCAGACATGCTGAAAGCAGCGCTCTTGACCTGACAGTAGCAGCTTTGCAAGCATTTTGCCAATCCCCCTGGCTCTAATCCAAATGGGAAGCTGGGATATGGGAGCTAACAGGATCTGTGCAAGCAGCACCACCCAGGGCAGCCCCCGAACTGTTTGATACCTTTGCCTGGCACGACTCCATGTCTCTGCTTCTGGCCTCCTTAAGTGTGACAGAGCGAAGTCCGCCCCAACTGAAACCGTTGCACAAATATTGTTTATTTAATATAAGGCTAATATTGCTTAATGTAATGAAACTCGTTAAGCCGGTTCCCTAAAAACAATTTTAAAGAACAGCATTCAATAAACTTTCCTTTGGGGGGGAAAAAATAGATTAAAAATGTGATTCAATCTGGTGAATTGATTTCCATTCCAAACATGGGACAAATAAGGAAATATTAGTCATTTTTGCCAGAATTCTCTTGACACCTCCAGCCCCAATGAATTCCTCTTGCCTCCTTTAGGCTGTTGACAGCCTCGCCAGTCTCCATCACATCCCCAGAAAACTCCATTCCTAAAAGGAGAATATCAGGAATAGTGTTGCTGCATATATTATCTGTTGCTTCTGCACCTACTGCGGTCTTCATTCAATGGACCGAACATACAGAATACAGATGCTAACAATGAATAACAACGGTGAAAGAATCCTTCTTTCCTGACGGCATTTTCCTGCCTGCCGGTACTGCAAATTATAGCACACACAGTACATGCTTGGGCATATCACAAAATACACAACTTTAATAGAAATCAGTGCTGAGGGATGACCAGAAGGTGTCACTACAAGCACAATAAAGAGAACGTTGAACAAAGTTTTTCAAAAATGGACGGAAAGGTTGAATTATTATTATTATAATCCCCACTCCTCCCAGAGCAGAGCTTGGCGGAGACTGAAGCACAAGGAAACAAGTCAAGTAATGTGCAGAAGGGAAAAACATCCTTCCACCGCTCTCTGCTGAATAACAACGTAAAAATGTGATAAGCCGCTTATACATGTGGCGGTTGCAGCCCCTCTCTGAAAGAAAAATGGTGTCCTGTAGAGGTCAGGGGGCATATATTTTGTTTCTCCCTCCATTTTCATTTCCTCCATATTGTCACTGGTCCTGCCCCCTTTTTTATATGTGTTTTTATTCATTAAATTTATATATTGCCCTTCATCTCAGGGCAGTTCACAGTGTAAAAATGCAATATAAAAAACCCCCCAAATACATCATTAAAATAAGAACAACAACAAACCAATAATTCCCCACCCCACCACACATTTAAAAGAGCATTGGATGTCAATAAGCCAAAGACATAAAGGTGTGAATGAAAACACCAGGTGAGCTTCCCTGGGGAGAGCACAAATGAGGAGCCACCGCAGAAAAGGCCCTGTTTTCATGTTGCCGCCCTCTGGACCTCTCGTGGAGGAGGCACATGAAGAAGGGCCTTAGATGATTATCTCAGGGTTCGGGTAAGTTCTTTTCTTAAACGAGGATGCACTGGTTGCAATCCTGTGTCTAGCTGGGCTGCCTAAAATATTCTTGTACACTTTCCCAATCACCGGTGATCACGGATGAGTTAAAATCATTTATTTATTTAGGAAATAATTACAGAGCTCTGCAAGCAGTGTAGTAATAACTTTGTAAATTTAAAAAAAAACAGCTAAAATCCATAAACCAATGGAAAAGACATAAAAATATAATCATTACAAACAAATGTAACATTAAAAAAATTATTAAAACCTGGGTAGACTGGGGAAAATAGCATTTTTAGCAACATAGCAAGGGCACCTGCAATGTCAATAGGCAGGGAGTTTTACAGCAGAAGTGCTGACACTTTACAGGTACAACACCTCAGCAACGGACATTATGTGGCAATTGTAAAAGTGCAAGTTAAGGCAGATTGGAGTGATCAAATCAGCATGTACGGGGCATGGCAATCCCTTAAATGAAACGGGCCCAAGCTGTTAAGGGCTTTATATACCCATATTAAAGGTAAAGGGACCCCTGACCATTAGGTCCCGTCGTGACCGACTCTGGGGTTGCGGCGCTCATCTCGCTTTATCTGGCCGAGGGAGCGGTGTACAGCTTCCGGGTCATGTGGCCAGCATGACTAAGCCGCTTCTGGTGAACCAGAGCAGCGCACGGAAACGCCGTTTGCCTTCCCGCCGGAGCGGTACCTATTTATCTACTTGCACTTTGACGTGCTTTTGAACTGCTAGGTTGGCAGGAGCTGGGACCGAGCAACGGGAGCTCACCCTGTCGCGGGGATTCGAACCGTCAACCTTTTGATCGGCAAGCCCTAGGCTCTGTGGTTTAACCCACAGCGCCGCCCGCGTCCCTTTCATACATAATACCCATATTAGAACCTTTAATTTCACCCAGTAACAAATCAGTGGCCAGTGCAGATCTTTGAGCAGTTTTGCCAAGAGGCCTGGCCAGCAAACATTTCTAACCCAAAAATGAGGTGGTTCTTTAAATATTTTTAGGTTACTTATGTACCACAAATGATTCATAGAAGTTGTTGGTCTCATAAAAAGGAGTATTGTTGGCTAGTAATTTTTGTCATCTTACTTGCAAGGCTGGCTCATATCCCACTGACTTCTTTTAAGCAATACAGTGGTACCTTGTTTTACGAACTTAATCCATTCCGGAAGTCCGTTCTTAAACCAAAGCACTCTTAAACCAAGGTGTGCTTTCCCATAGCAGCGGGGGACTCAATTTACAAATGGAACACACTAAACAGGAAGCGAAACATGTTCTGCTTCCAAGGCAAATTTCACAAACCAAAACACCTACTTCCGGGTTTGTAGCGTTCTTAATCCAAGTTGTTCGTAAACTAAGCTGTTCTTAAATCAAAGTACAGTGGTGCCTCACAAGACGAAATTAATTCGTTCCGCGAGTTTTGTCGTCTTGCGATTTTTTCGTCTTGTGAAGCATGGTGTCGGGAAAGTTTTGGAAAAGCTTCAAAAATCACCAAAGTCTTTAAAAACCTCAAAAAAGGCTACCACACCGCGTTCTATGAGTTGCTCCTCGAAGTCAAGTCGCAACTGTATTAACGGTGTTAAGAAAAAGGAAACAAACTTGCAAGACGTTTCCGTCTTGCGAAGCAAGCCCATAGGGAAAATCATCTTGCGAAGCAGCTCAAAAAACAAAAAACCCTTTCATCTAGTGAGTTTTTTGTCTTGCGAGGCATTCATCTTGCGAGGTACCACTGTACCACTGTATAACATATTCAGGACTGGAGTTTCTGCAGCTGAAGAAACGCTGACTAAAGTCTGTCCAAACATTCCTGCAAGCCCTAAAAAAAGATTTCACAGCTCCCATAGGGAGCATGTTGTACTGCTTGAAGTTATCATTGTTCCATTCTGGCTAAATATGTAAGCGAATAAAGCGCTAAAATTGGGTGAGCAGCAATCACAAGACTGGGACAGCAACGTCATACTGCATCCCCAGTGCAAACAAACAGCGTTTGTTTTCAAGAAATAAGTACAGATCTTTGCCACCGCTGTTGCAAAGGCAGCTACTCACTGTCATGGAGTCTGTTCTTCCTGTATATGCTGACTAAGAAATAAGTCACTTCAAGTTCAATAGGGCTTACTTGTGTGCATGGGACTGTAGCCTCAGGGACCTTCTTTTTCTGCAGAAGGCTTTTTTGTTTTTTTACCCTCCTTTGCTCCCATACCAGCTTAATCAGCCAGGTTTAGCAGGAGATAGCACTCATCTCCATGCTGTGAAAAAGCAAAAATGTGCCACTGAATGATTCCTATGAATCAAGAATCAATGGGAGCCACAAGAAAGGGCAGTCTTTGTTTGTTTCTGGTTAGCTGACAGTCCTACTTCATAGTTGCATTGGTCCAAAATTCTTATCTGACTAGTGCACTCTCTTAGGATGCTATTAGGATGTTTCTCATACTCTGTGTGTAACCTAAACCTCCTCTCCTGTGTTTCTTCTTCTGACTTCATTATTTCATGCCCTATCCTAAGCCGCTGGCAGTTACCCCTGGAGGTACATAATGACCTAGAAAGTGTGTGTTTTTCTGGGAGAAAGGGAAGCGCTGAATTAAAATTCCTGTAGAAAATGTTGCTTTAAAATCTGTGATTTGTGGTGGTGGTTATTGTTTACTCATTTCTCCATCTGCTCCCTAACTGGCCTGGTTTGCACATCACGCTGAACTGGAGTACAGCTTGCCATCACGACTCCTTAACCAAGACCTGTAACTATAAGGAAAACCTTGGCTGCACATTGTGGCCATGGAGGAGAGACCCTAACTATGATCCCAGGCTTGGACGATATGCTAGACCAAACCAAAAAAGCCAGGGTTGGGGCAGCAATGCAGCTACAATCTCCTCCTCAGGAACCAGCACGTTTATGAATTTGTACTGCCATGGTTTAGCTTACCCTGGTTTGAGGGCACAACCAGTCCCTCAGACATACACAAACATACTATTTAATATTCACTCATCCCATGCGGATCCCATGCGTCCATGTGGGACGCGGGTGGTACTGTGGGTAAAACCTCAGCGCCTAGGACTTCCCGATCGTATGGTCGGCGGTTCGACTCCCCGCGGCGGGGTGAGCTCCCGTCGTTCGGTCCCAGCTCCTGCCCACCTAGCAGTTCGAAAGAACCCCTAAGTGCAAGTAGATAAATAGGTACCGCTTTCTAGCGGGAAGGTAAACGGCGTTTCCGTGTGCTGCGCTGGTGCTGGCTCGCCAGAGCAGCTTCGTCACGCTGGCCACGTGACCCGGAAGTGTCCTCGGACAGTGCTGGCCCCCGGCCTCTTAAGCGAGATGGGCGCGCAACCCCAGAGTCGGTCACGACTGGCCCGTACGGGCAGGGGTACCTTTACCTTTACATCCCATGCTATATTGATCTTCAGTCAGGCATTAGTGAAATGTTATCTTTCCACAGGGCTAATATTACAGCACTAACTCAAAACCCTGGTGCTGTTTCAGCTGTTCAAGGTTCAAAGCACTATTAGGGATGAGTGACTGCCCTTTGGACAGTTTGTAATCAGAGTTTCACAGGTAGAGAACTCACAACCACAGGGTGAAGGTACTCCTGTTATTGCAGGAGTGAGGAAACCATGGCAACGACGATCTTTTCCATGATATGAAAAGCCCTGGACCACACATGAGGGGCCTTCACTGCAGCATCTCCCCAAACCAGCGCTAAACCTTAGGAAACTGTGCCAATACTTTTATGGGTCGTCACTGGTGCATCCAGGGTTTCGCACAGCAGTGCAGAAGGACTGGATGTTGCTACAGTAGCTCAGATGCTGACAAGGCAAGATGAGGATCAGGCCTCAGCCGGAGAAACTCAGCAGCTCAGGAAAATTTCTACAGCTGCAATACTTATAAAACTTTATTCGTCTTAGCAAGGTTTAGAAGCCCACACTATACTGGGAAACATCAACGCCTCCGCCCAAAAGGTTTCCCCCCCCCCATTTTACAAAGGGATGAACAGAGACTTGCATGATTCTACTCAGTGATTCCATCACCTGAAAGAAGATCTGGACCCATATCCCACAGG